AGGCTGAGCTAGACTATGCAATCATTATATTATAGTTTCGAAAGCATATTGTTTTCAAAGCGGTTTATGGTCATCTTTAAAACCGATGTTGTATCTCAGAAGGAAAGCAATTGACTTTTTTCGTGGTCTTTATAAAAAGATGCAGTAATGTCGACTATAGATATTGTTGAAAACTCGAGTCATTTCTCCCTTTTTATTTTAAAGTTATTCAAAAAATGCCCACTCCGATTTAATTCTGAAATGGACATTAATTTTTGTCTATCCATTCTAGCAGTTTGTTAGTGTTTTACGATTCATTCCAGAATATTTATTAAGCTTGCGTCTTTTCCAAAATGTAGACTAGACGCAAGTCACTTTCTAATAACAGATTCTAACGCCTTGACTTATAAGTTAGATGCTATCATCTAAATCGTATGACTTCGAACTAGACGATCAAAATAAATAAAAATCATCAAATATTCATCTAACGATCATTATAAGCAAATTTGTACTGATTTTTTATATTGGAAAGATTATTCTTTGAAGCTTTTGAAAAAGGACAGAATGAAATGTGTTTTTCATGTTTATATACATGTTTAAGAAGCATTTCTAAGTCATGCAATTTCTTTTTCTTTTTCAATTCAGCGTCGAAAAAGACGTTACATTAGACTTTGTTTATTCTTGGTGCTTTTCTTTAAAGGCTAATATGAGTTAGAAAGAACTTCATATTCAAAATTTCATCTTTCCACCAATAGGAATGAATACGCTGCTTGATACAATGTGACTCATATGTTGAAAGTAAGAAGAAAAACAAAAAAAAAGAATGCACCATGGAAACCGATTCAGTACACATAGATTATTTTGCGTATATTAATTTTTGTCAATTGAATGGAATCTTAAAAAATCAGAACACTACTAACGCTTAGTATGAGTGAATTGATTGCAAAACATTGTACTTTACTTGAGCAATTGAAAGAAACTAACCAATATCATCAAGATAGAGATGACATTTTAAATGATTTTCATACGGAATTGAATCGTCTTCGATCATCAAATATTGTTATATTTCGTCAAGAGATAAATAAAGTTACAACATTATTATGTACTAATATTATTAATCTTAATGAATTAATTTTAACATTTTTTCTTGATTATTTTATTCAATTATTGAAACAATGGCATGAATTAACATATTTTAATGATTCAAATGATTCATATACATTTGAAAACTTATCAATCATTTTAAAAAATCATTCTTACAATTTAATGAATGAATTATTAGTTCAAGAATTTATTCAATGTCTTATTACAATTGCACGTGTTGGAAAAGATATGTTTAAGAATCGAAATATTGAAGTTATAACTCGTATGCTCAATGCCTATACTGATATAGAAAGTTCTAATAGACATGAGTTTATGGAAGTGTCACAGTTGGATGACAGTATAATAAAATGTCTGTGTACACCTTATACTATTGAAGTATTTGCTCAATTTAACTTATCAGTTAAATCTGAAGAACGTAATCCAACGGAAGATTTCGTATTTGATGGTTTGTTTGGTCATGTTTCACTTATGAATAGAGAAAAACTTCAAGAACAAGCTCTTGATTTACGTAAACATTTGCTTGCATCAATAAGTAATTTACTCGATACATTTGAAATATCATACAATGAATGGTCAGAATCAGCAATTAAAATTCTTACAGATTTAACAACATTATTTCTTTATTCTGTACAAATGACTATAGTAAATGATATATGTCTTGATGTGCAAAAACATATTTGTGATACTTCTATTCGTGTACTTGTCATTCCAACATACCGGTCAATGAAATTCAATAATAATTGTCTTCAATATATTTATATGGGAACATCAAGTGATAAAATATTAGATCATTTAAAAAGTCAAAAATTAACATCGACTATGTTTAATATAGTTAATCTGTTTAAAAGTGAAGGAGAAATTCAATTTAATGTTTATCGAATATTAGCTGCTATTATGACAGAAGATGATATCAAACGACTTGATGATCCAGGAGCTATAGCTAAAGTATTTCTTGATCATTTAACAGAGATAACAGATCGTTCAGGATGGGAAGTAAGAATAAAAAATCTGTTGACTCGTTTGAAAAGTAAATATTTCAATTGAATATACTCAATTATTTTGTTTTCTTTTTATTATTTAGTTTTATTACAACATGATCAAATTCGAGATGAAATATATAAACAAAATGGTGTACCACTTTTTATTTATTGTGCAACTGTGACAAAATATGATACAATTATTCAACAACGAGCACTTGAAAATCTTTTAATAATGTCGTTCAATGAAAAAGTTCATTTAAATTTAAAAGAAAATACGACTTTCATGACACAAATTAAATCTATATCAGAAAATTCTACTGAACCTGATTTACAACGAGCTGCTGAAAGTTTATTATGGATACTAACAAAAGATGAAACATCCAAAGAATCAATAGATAATCAAACATCAGAAACGACTTATGATATAATGATTAGTTATTCACATAAAGATAAAGATTTATGCTTTCAACTTTATGATCGTTTACAAAAAGATAATTTTCGTGTATGGTTAGATCGTGATCAAATACATGGAACACCTCTTGAATCTATGTCAAATGCAATTGAAAATTCGGAATTTGTATTTCTTTGTATGTCAGATGCATATAAGCAAAGTGGATATTGTAAAATGGAAGCATATTATGCATTAGAACGACAATGTTGTATTATTCCATTAGTTATGAAATCACAATATAGACCAGATGGATGGCTTGGAATTGTTGTTACAGGAAGAATGCGTATTGATTTTCCAAAATATGGTTTTGAAGATGCTTATAATAAATTAATGATTGAGATAGATCGAAATCGAAGAGAGAAGAAAAAAGATAGTTATCTACATCATCATGATATACCAGCTACTACTACACCATCTAATATTTCAGTTAAAGAAGATAAAGTAATAGAAAAACTGGTATTTCAAGCAAAAAGGTAAAATTAAGATACAGAAAAGTAAGAGAAAAAAATATGTTGCTTTTACTTTTATAGTGATCATTGTTTACCTTCGAATATTGAACAATGGACAACTGATGACACACAGCAATTTCTTATTAAACAGCAACTCGAAAATTTTTTACCTATATGTTCACGAATGAATGGTACACGTCTTGTTCAATTATATAAGATGTGCATGAAGAATTCACCAGTAATGTTTCAATCACTCAATAACCAATTTGCTATGATGAATATTGAAAAGAAAAAGTCTATAATTGAAATTATTGAATATTTTCAATTTTTGGATGATCTTAAACCTTTTGTACCAATTTCATATGAAAAAACAGAAGTGGTTGGCGCTCGATCGACTGTATGCATACTAACGTGACATTTCTTATGCAATTGATATTTTAAAAAAAAAGCATATTACATAGAACTATTGTTCACTGTGTCTTAACAATATCGTACAGCAGTCATATATAATAATATATTACAAGTTTTTATACTTTCTAGTGGCTATTAATAAAGCTAGAAGAGACATTGTTATAATAAAAAGATTCTCGCGAAAAAAATGCGATTAATAAGTAGCAGAGATGTTCATCGTACTGCTGTCACCGCCAAGGTCACGGTTGGCGGCGTGGTAGCGGCTATTTATTTTTTTGGCCACCGCGGCTAATTTCTTCCGATTTCTTAGCGCCTTGATGGTTAATCGGTGGTTTTTGTGATATAGGTAGGTAGAATATTTAAGATGATAAAGAAAAACAGAAAGAAAAAGGAAAAAAACAAAAGAATTAGTAAAAAGTATTTGAAAAGAAGAGAAAATAAAGGAAACGAAATGAGAAGCATGCCATTTTCATAGTGAAGTATTTGAATCAGGTAATAAACATTTCAGTAAGCTTTCAGAAAATATATATAATTGTGTTGAATAAATATGACAGTTTAAATCTAATTCAAAAGCTTTAATTATTAATGATTCTCTAACTAGTGATAAATCCTCAAATTAATACGTTGTTAAACCTACTTATATGTTTGGTCATTATCGAATTAGGTTTGCTAGCATCTTATCTAATATATATATAAGCCTTAAGAAAGACAAAGGAGAGAGAAGATGGATAGTACAACAGCTGAACATGCATACAATTCAATCAAATATCCTTACACATACAGACACATAAGTTTAATTGAATGATCTTTATCAACAAAGAACAGATAATCAATTAAACAAAAAAAGAAACTTGAGAAGAAGTGATAAAATAATATCTCTTTTTTAATATATCTTAAAGATCAATTAACCTTCAGATCAAAACGTTATCGTGACGATAGAAGAATAAAATTCAAATTTTATATAAATGATTTACTTGAAGATCGAATGACTATTTGTTGTGAACATGCATTAGTTCATGGAAATGAAAAACAGTTCTTTCAAATTGAACATGTTGTTGAATCACAACCTTGTTAAGAGGAAAAAAAATTATTTTCGATTCAAATTTCCTATTAATAATAATCAACCAAAATTTTTATTTTGTTGCATTTAGATTGTTAAATAAAGCACTTCGTATACCTGAAGTTGATGTTTTATTTAAACTTTGTTTATTTATTCAACATTTAAGTCAACAAATTTTCAATGAATCAATATCAAATATATCTGAGTAAAATTTAACCGTTTATATTTAGGTCAAACAATTCATTAAAATGATTAAGAAGATTTACAAAAAAGTTTAACACACAATCATTTACTTGTTTTTAGTCAATTTCTATTTGGTTCAACTAGTCTTTTCAAAGTGATTCAAATTGCTAAAAAATCTTTCAGTTTTATCCGATGAATATATTCCTGTTATACTTCATTTAAATCTCTCATCAAGTCTAAGATGTGCGCATACAAGTACACTTCGATATACTGTTAATGATGATAATGATGTTCTATTAAATATGAGAATAATGGGAAGTTTAATTAAAGTGGAAAAAGATAATCATAATGAACATGGTATAACTTCAATTTATTTAACTTTAATTGAAAGTAAAAATGAACGAATTTTTACAACAAATGTTTGAAATAAAACGAAATGAAATTAAAGGTGCTGCATCATTTGTTACTTTAATTAAATTAATGATGATCATGGGTCAACGAATACATGCTGAACAATTAGTTCAAATGATATTTGATGATGAAACATTAAAATCTGATCCACATCTTCGAGATTCATTAGCCGCATTGTGTCATATCCTTGGTGCAACATGTCATATTCGTAGTGACTCAGTGGCGTATCCAGGATTTGTGGGTACATGGGATCTCAGCTTCATAGCATAGAACCTAGCATATCCAAAAATTCTGGATACGTCACTGCGGTGACTTTAAACGTGCTGCTGAATTATTTCATTTATCATTAGATACATTTCTTCGATTTGCTCCAGCTAATGCATTACCTTGTTATTTAAAAAGTACAGAAATTGAATTGATGCGTTTACCAGAATATTATTCAACTATTGCTGTAACACATTTTAACATTGCAACAACCTATACAGGTTTAGGAAGATTTGAAGAAGCTATTGCATCAACAGAAAGATCAGTCGAGCAACTAGTAAAAACTTTACCATCTGATCATCCAGAAGTTATTGAAAATCGTTCTTATATTGAAACGATTAAACGTAAACAAATGCTCAAAAGACTTTTTGATACTGATACAACAGGCCTTTTTTCTTCAAAATTGAGCTTATGTGCTATTTATCTTTTTATTATTATTTGATAAACTAGATTGAATTCTTTTTTTTTGATTACAAATATCAAGAAATTAAATTCAGAAAAAGAAACAAATCAGACATTATTTACACCGAGATACTTGTTTTATCTTGTTCTGGAGATTTCAAAAAAAATGTGAAAAACCATATCAATACAGCAAACGACAATACAGTCAGATAGATCGAAAAAACATATCTTCATCAGAGTGTTATTAAGAATATCATTAAAATAAAGAAGAACAGCAAAATGTAAATCAGTAACAGTGAAGACAGATATAAAAGTTGCACGAATATACAGGATAAAAAATAAGTTTTCCAAAACTTGTCCAAACATCATGTTTATGTGTAAATGTTGTAGCAAACAAGCAAATACTCGTTACGCATAATGATATACTGTAAGAATAATACTTGACGTGATTTATATGAATATCATACGAGCAAATTGTGATGAACCAATGATTTTTCACATCCTTAAAGAAAGTCTTATTATCTTAAAAACAAGAGCTTCCACTTTCTTAAACTATATTCTTCGTCATTTCTTTTTCGAATGATAGATAAAGACTTTCACTACCCTAGCAAGTTGTTTGCATCTGTACTTATTAAAAGAATGACGTGAAGCTGTATTTATTGTATCTATTTGTCTACCTTAATTACCTCTCTATCTGCTTATCTATACAACTATTCAATTATCTATCGGCCTATTCAGTTTGATAATCTACCTACATAATTATTTATTGAGCTATCTATCTATGTATCTGCCGAGTTAATTATGTAACGATCACTTATCTATTTCATTACTTACCTAATCATCTATTTATTATTTATATTGCTGTATACTGAACTATCCAAGAATTTGAAGGCCAAATTATCTCAACAAAACAGAAGAAGAAGATTGTACTTATTCTAGCAGAAATGATTTTTCGTTATGATATATGTACTGATATATTCTTTCTTTCCATATCTCTTTGACATGTGTGACTTCCGTAAGGTAAAGTAATTTTCGTAGAACGATGCAATTTTGCTCATGACTGATTCAATGACTCATTGCTGAATTATGAACAAACTGCCTACTAATCAAAGTAAAGAATGAAATTCCAAGAAGGGAATAATGCACTAAAAAAAGAGTTTGGAAAGATTAACAAACATGAATACAGTTTTCAAGCCATATAATGATATTTCGATCAGTCTTTGATAGATGAAGAACATTGTTTCTCAATAAAGAGTTCTAGAAGAAATATGATTGATATGTATTTCTTGAATTCGAATCGTACGAAAATCTCAAAGTGTTCTGTTTGCCATGCAGAAGAGAACATAGTAGGATCAAAACCAGCTCTTTGTGAACATTTCTTCTACTCAATTTATAAACTTAAGATTTTCGTGTTACAGGTATAAATGAGAATACTAAGAACTTATTACATTATCATCAAGAGGTTACTTGCGATGTTCAAGATAGTTTCTGTGTAGGACGCTCTATCAATCCGCATGTGCAAAAAAAAACATCTACGCTATTAAAACAAATCATATGCAAACAACAAAAGACAATATCTATTCAACACTTTGCATTTAATGTTATTTTATTATATTCGTTATTGATCGAAAAATGAAGAGTGATTTTTTACATTCTTCATGCGTCCAGCTTTTATTTGCATAATATTGAAAACTGGTTTAATCTTCCGTTCTTTCGGTCACTCACATTTTTATACCATTGTTATTGATTCTTTCGCTTTTTAATCTGCAAAGCAAACAAAAAGAAGTGCTGTTTGTTTTGTTTATGTCCATATACTTTCTGAAAATGCGTGTGGAGGCAGTGAAGCAGCTTCTGATGCACATACCTGATTCATTTTTTAAGTTTAAAACCGTATTTATAGGAAAATTTATAAATTTCTAATCATTTCCATCTTAAATAGCAAATGAAAGAAGAAAATCACATGACATTTGTATCTTCAGAAAAGGTAATGGCAACATCTCAAGAAACATCACACGATGGTTTGACTGATATGACCAGTCAGTCCAATGGCAGTTCTTACAAAATCGATCATCGTGATACAAATACACTTTTATCAGTAATATTATCTGGTAATACTACATTCTATGTTCAAGCTGGAAGTTTGGTGGCTATGAGTCCATAAGTGACATGAAAGGCAAATTAAAATTTTCCTTCAAAAAAATGTTCACTGGCGGGGAAATGTTTTCAAGTGAAGATCTTTCTGTTGATCGAGTATCAGGTGTTGGTGTCCTTTTTTGTCACATCACTCGGAGCTATTCTACATCGAAATTTAAAACAAGATGAACAATGGATTGTGGATAATGGACATTTAGTTGCATGAAATTATCCATATACAATTGAAAAATCAGGTGATGGGCTTATGAGTGGAATGCAGACAGATGAAGAACTTGCTTGTCGATTTACAGGACCTGAAATAGTATTCATTCAACTAAATATCTATTTTTATCATTTGTTTAAAAAATACAAAGAAAGTAATACATATCTAATATATTTGTATAGAGTCGAAATCTGAAAGCTGTGTCAATGTGGATTGCAAGTCATACAGAAGCACGTTGAATATTATAATCATCAACACATTCTATCGTAGCTACTTAGTTTTCTTTTTCAAATATTTGCGAAAAATAAAAGATTGAAAATTAAAAACTACACCAATTTGCGACGATTTTATCCACTCTGCAGGGGCGTAGCCAGGGGGTGAGATGATACCTAAAGAGCTCGGACATCTCTCATGGCAGTAAGACACCTGGGGAGGTGCCGGTAAAAATCTTTTTATGAAACAAAAAATTATTTCCTGTTGTTGTGCACTCCTCTCAATAAGTCACTGGGGCATCCCTCTTATGAAATTTCTGCATAAGCCACCTGCTATTCTGTAACTAAAGAGCAATGTTATAAAACCTCTTAAATCACCATGATTGTGAAGGAGTTCTCGGAAGTAGTAGTAATTATAGAGTTGAAAAATAATCATTTTTTCATTCTCCGAGAACGAAACGAACTACATTTAGCCAATTCGTTTATTTAAATCAATGAGTTATTTTTATTAAATTGATTTAAATATGGTTTTAGACAAAAGAAAAACCATATGAATGACTATTTATTAAGGAAATATTTTTAACCAAAACGACTCATTCAAAAGATCTTTAGATGATATTAGCAAAACAAAATGATTAACTAGAAGGAATGTTAAATACATCGAATGAATGAAATTAACTTTTTTAGCTATTCGTAGACAGTAGTTCATTGACTTGTTAATGACCAATAATTAATCAAAATTCCAACATTGATTGAATTTGTTTGGCATGATAAAATCAGCAATGAATAGATAAACTGAAACAATAATTACTGATAAAGACACACCGAGAGCTAAAGATTCTTTCGCCAAACAACGCAGGAAGTATGTCAGTAAAGAGCCGATTTGAACACTAATTATCGATCCAAATGTCACGCATATTTCTGTTATTAATGATGAAGATGGTGGAAGAGCAAATAAGACCAAGATGTTATAAATAAGAAAATCTCCACAACCAAGGGATCCACTTTTTTCCCCATTTATTAACGCCTACAGTATAATAAAAACCTGAATAAAACTTTTTCCTTTCAGTAAATGTTTGATTAGTCAAATATGGATTGCACAGTTCATCTTCATAATGTAAACATGTGAAACTAAAATAAAACAAAAGAATTTTAATAAAAAAATAAATACTTTCACATCCATAATTGACATTTGGACTATTTCATACTACATTGTTATGATGATTTGCAAGAAAATTTCTTAGCAGAAAACGGATATTTTGGATAATCTCTGTTGAGAGATAATAATTGATCATCCTTAAATTGCTAATAATAAAAGAAAACAATGACTAACTCGAAAATTTCAGATAACAGTTTTAATGACCTCATGTGATACAATTAAACACTTCTAATAAGTTCTAATATCCTTATCTCTATGTAATCATATCCAAGAGTGTAACCAAATTGAATATTTTTCTATATATAATGACGAATACATATACTGGTAAATCAGAGTATCTCAAGCATTAAAATATGACTCAATCAGATAGATATGTTAATCATACTACAAAAAAAAATATTGAAAACAATACGAGTTGTGTATTATCTGTAAGAATCTTTCGTTATATTTATTTGTATCAAATTCAACAGATGTAAATGATATGAGAATTTGTGGAGGACAGAACGAAGTTACGACAACTATGTTAAGTGCCCTTGTTTCACCGAATTGTTTTGAAAGTTGAACATCGTAAATACAAATATTTTTTTCATATACTGTAAGAAGATAAATGATCGAACAATAATAACATTGTTATTCAAAGTCTGTTATTTTGTGAAACACGAGCTCAAAGGAGTGTTGAAGTCTATAGAGGTCGAAAGGACGGGGGCGCATTTGAACACATTTTGGCCCTTTTGCTTTCCATTACGAAAACTAACTCAATCATACATAAATCGATAGATTATTGACTCCTGATCATTTTGATACTAAATTCGATGTATTTTTATGAGATTCTAAGTCTTCTCTGGGTCTGTCACATGTACCACCTATGAAGTACAATTATATTCTTAGGTTTTCATGAAANCCGACTTTTTCGGGTATCCGTCTCGTTACACTAAATTCACTCAAATTTCTCGCTGTTCTGGGATATATCGATGTCTGAAAATCTCGATATCCGAGTTTCGGATATTATGACATCCTTCAAGCTCTAAACTATTGATTCTTATAGAGAACACATTATGCAAGTGAGACCTACTCATTGATGACAAGAAAGATAATTATCTCCGAGTCTTATCACACCAGCTAAGAATTACAGAAAAACTTATAATTGTTCGAATACTTCTTCAATAAATGTAAGTCATACAGATAAACTATATCTTAGAGGGGTTTTTCTCATTAGTATTCGTCTATTTTTATCTATATTGAATGTCATTCTTCATTTTCAATAATTCTTGACATCACTAAAACAATGGTGTTATAACCAAGCTTATTTTCAGTTTTTGAATTTCAAGATCTTGTATTTTATGGTTTTTAAAAACTTTACTCTGGAAAAATACTTGGTGAAATCTATGTAAACTCGTTAAAAATAAATATATTAGTGCAAAAAAAACAAGCATTTCAAACCTTAATCATCACATAAAGATAAATGATATTCTTAGTTAATTCCAATCAATCACAACAAAACTGGTGAAGAATTTATATTTTCTTAAACAGTATCATCTGTAGATTGTAGCCTACCAGTGACATTATCGAAACTGACGGTATCAGATCAGTAAACAAAAGTGATGACATGAGATGCTATCTTATTTCTTAGATACCCGTCATGAATAGACATCTGTCGAACATAGCATATATAGGTCAATAGCTATTAAAAAAATGAAGGTTGATGATTCACTAGATAGATTTTTCTTGACTTTTTTCTTTCTTGAGATTATGTCTTTCTGAGTCTTTCATATTGATCAATAACATTTACAAAATGAAAAAAACTTCTAAGATAGCTACCGTTTGATTTTCTTTATTTTGCGCATAAATATTTACTTTCAATGTTGATTTTTTAGCTTCACTTTATCTGTTCTCTTTCCATTTCTATTAATATATATATCTTACATCGAAGGTAAGTGAGTAGTTTGTTTTATCAAAAAAAAAAAAACGAGAGTTGTTTGAAAGTATAACCAAGAATGTCAATAAATAATACTCAGTTGTCATCAACATCATTTCTTCAATCAGATGTTTGGTTATTTACTATTTATATTATTGGTACATTTGAATTTGTTTTTTGGTTATGTAATGGTTTTTTAATTTTTATTGAATCATTTGATTTTCCATCTATTGATAAATATCGTATACAAAAAAATAAGACTAAATTACGTTTTCAACCTGATATAATACAATTAATGATAAAAGAAACAATTCGTCATCAAATATCAATTATTCTTCTTACACCATTACTTTATTATATTATAAATTATTTTGGCCACCTCGATATACGAGGACCTCGACCATCATGGTTGACAATAATTTATCAACTTGTTCTTTTCATTCTTTCAGAAGATGCTATCTTCTTTTGGACACATTATTTATTTCATACACCATGGTTATATAAAAATATACATAAAAAACATCATATTTATAAACAACCAACCGGTGTAGTTTCTGTTTTAAGCGATCCTATTGAAGGTTTACAAAATCAATTATCTATTTGGTTTATGCCTGTTCTATTAAAAGAAAAACATATATTTACATTATGCATTTGGATTGCTATACGAGTTTATCAAACAGTAAATGCACATTCAGGTTACAATTTACCCTATGTTAGTACACAGTATTGGGTACCATGGATTATGTCTGGTGCTTTAGCACATGATTTTCATCATGAACATGGTAAATGGAATTATGGATCATTTTTTAACATTTGGGATCGACTGATGGGTACACATCGACTCTCGAAAACTACTAAACGAACTGATTGATAAAACAAAAAAATGTATCAAGTAGTCATCAACAGTTTATTAAAGAGAAATGAGAAAAGAAGAAAGAAAGAAAAAGATCCACTAGCATATGGTCAACTATTTGAGAAATGCTTGATTGATGAGAATTTGAATGTGAATATATACACACAATCTTGTATTAACATTTAATCATTGATCGTATTATAGATATGTGCTCTTCTTTCTCACTGAAATTCTTGTCTATGTGCAACATAATAAAGAAGTAAAATGTCTATTCGAGCACATATACATATAGAAGAGATGGTAAATGTAATGATGGTAGTATTTACCCGACTCTTATCGCTATTGTTGTTGCTATTGATGTCGCGTATCAATCGCAACGAAAAATGGCAAAGAATGAATTTTTCGTATTCTTCTGCTCCTTTCTTTTTCTTTCTTCGTTTTATTCTTACCAGTCTTCAAACATAAGTAACTGAGAAAAAAAAAAGAAATCATGTTTTTTGACGACAAAAATAGCTTGTTCCCATCTGTAAGTAAAAGAAAAATCAAAAAACGACATAATTACCTACATGTTTACTTAACATAATCATCGTCGATTTTTCAATCTTACTCCCTCGATTTCTTGTGAATCAATTTATTTTGATTTTGACCATCTAGTGATACTTTAGGGAATTATTATTTAATGATTCATTCATGTACGTCAACCTATCATCCTGTTTTACTAAAAATATCAACAGATTGATTATTCAAATAGATTGAAAAATATTTTTAAACATGAGTTTATTAATTCAAATCTTCTAGATATATATAGTCTTATTTAAAAATCAATTTCAAACTATTTTCTTTATCACAATGGCATCATTTACTAATTATCGAAATCCAAATACAAATCGATCACAAAATACAAACGATGAGAGTTCAAAAGAGCTTAAGTCTAATATTCGTGAAAGTCGTTGGATTCAACCTGAACAATGGCAATCACCTGAAATCCAAGAAAAATTCGAGAAGGTAAAAATAGTATTTTTCAAAAAACAGAAAACGAATATCTCAAAATTCCTTTTTTTTTAATTTTAGGGTTCGGTTGATTTCTCTGAAGTACATGGTATGCTTCAACAATTAGGTATTAAAGTTCAAAAATTTGAATTAAATAGAATTCTTGAAAAACATGATCGAAATAAAGATCAACAATTGAATAAAGAAGAATTTGAAGATGTAAAAAAACAAAACTAAAAAATAATTCTTTTTTAATCAATAGTCTATTTTAAATATTTATAGCTCTATTTAAAGTTACGTGCTGAAAAAGATCCTGGTAGTACATGGGGTAGAACAGTTAAACCAACAGCTGGTGGTGTCGATCGATTTGTTACTACACGACGTGATACAACAGATGATACAGATTCAACATCATCAGCTGTTGAACAACAACAAGAAGCATCAGGCCCATACCACAGTGTATTAGTTGAAGAACGTATATGGACATCTAATTGGCTTAATCAGTATGTACTTATTAATATTTAATTGATAAATATTATTCGTATACTTTGCTATAGACTTCTTGCCGATGATGCTCATTTAAATTTACGTGCTAATCCTATCGATTCAACAGACGCACAAGCACTTTACAAACGATGTCAAGATGGCATATTACTTTGGTATATATTTTTGATTTTTTGCGTAAAACAAATTGATTAATTTGATCATATAAAATTTACTATTTTATTTTTTGAGAAACAAAATAGATTAAATGAAAAGTCTGAAATTTAATTATTTGACGTTAATTTTAGAAAGATATGTTACTAATAAATAAAAAAATTTTTTTGTTTAGTAAATTAATCAATATTGCTGTCCCTAAAACAATTGATGAACGAGCTATTAATTTAAATTTTTCAAAACAAGATATTTTTCGTCAAAGTGAAAATTTAGAACTTGGTAAAACAAACGAAAAAAAAACCAAAAAAATTGTAGCTTATTATTATTTTTTTTCTGTCTTTTTAATAAGCAATCAATTCTGCTCGTGGTATTGGTTGTAAAGTAGTTAATATTCATCCAGAAAATATTTCTAAAGCTGTACCTCATCTTGTCATGGGTCTTCTTTGGCAAATAATACGAGTAAATATTAAAAATAGTCTAAATTATGATTATTATTTTAAGAAAATTCTTTATTTAGATTCAATTAACCAGCGAAATTAATTTAAAACATGTTCCTGGCCTTGTATTACTCTTACGTGAGGGTGAAACCCCTGAAGATTTATTAAAATTATCACCTGAAGAATTATTATTACGCTGGTTTAATTATCAACTTAAGCGTTCACAATATAGTGGCAAACCAATAACTAATTTTAGTAATGATATTAAAGTAAATTTTTTTTGTTTTTTTTTGTTTTCTTTGATTTCTCGAAAATTTTCTATTTAGAATTCTGAAGCATATACATATTTACTTAATGTTATTGCTCCAGCTAATACAAAACCACCAGTAGGACTTAATCCATTAAAGGTAAAAAAATCAAATAAAAAACAAAGTTTTTGATCAATTAAGTTTTTATTCAAACTCTTTAGTAAAATAAAAAAATAAATCGGTAATTTTGAATAAATGCGCATAAAAAGTTGTACAGCATGAAATTCAAAATTGTTTTGTGTATTGATCCCGTGTGGCTTTGATTTTTTCAAAATAGTAAATATATGTATACATATATATATTGTTATGATATAGGAAGATGATTTACGTCGTCGAGCTGAACTCATGTTAAAAGAAGCGGATAAAATCAAAGCACGAGCACATATAACACCTGAAGATGTTGTTAAAGGAAATCCAAGACTTAATTTTGCGTATATTAATTTGTCAAAAAACAAATCATTTAAATATAAAATAATTCTCTTTTATTTTAGTTTTGTGGCGAATTTATTTAATACATATCCATCATTAGATCTTCCAACTGAACAAGTACCAGAACCAGGTGTTATTATTGAGGAAACTCGAGAAGAAAAAACTTATCGAAATTTTATTAATAGTCTTGGTATTGAACCACATGTGAATTATCTTTACTCAGATCTTTGTGATGGTTTAATTATTCTCCAAGTAATGTCTGTTTGTGTTTTAGTTTAAAGAAAAAGGAAATTTGAATTTTTTAGCTTTATGATATAATTCGTCCGAATACAGTTGATTGGTCAAAAATATATAAAACATTTAATGCAATTAAAGAACGTTTTCAAAAATTAAGTAAATATCTTAGACTCTCTTTTTAGTCTTAAATTGATTTTCTTTGTTGTTTTTAGATAATTGTAATTTTGCTGTTGATTATGCAGTAGATCCACTTCATTTTAAAATAACAGGTATTGGTGGACCAGATATACTTGAAGGAAATAAAACATTAACACTTGGTCTTGTTTGGCAAATTATGCGTGCATACTCATTATCAATTCTACAAAAATTAGCAAAATCAACAACACCTATTGCTGATAAAGATATTATTAATTGGGCAAATCAAAAAGTAAAATCTAATTTTTATTTTTTGCAAACAAATTTTCAAATATATTTATTTTTTAGTTAAAAAATGCAAATAAAAAAACAGTTTTGACAAATTTTCAAGATCAAGCATTAAGTGATTCAATGCTTATTTGTGATTTAATTGATGCCATTAAACCAGGTTCAATTCAATATAATTTACTTAAAACAACTGGAACACCAGAAGTATTAATGAAAAATTTGTCTATTTAAATTCTTATTGTCTTTTGTTTTTAAATAAATTTTAGGCGAAAATGGATAATGCTTTGTATGCTATATCAATGGCACGAAAGATTGGTGCACGTATTTATGCATTACCGGATGATATTGTTGAAACGAAACAAAAAATGCTTTTAACAGTTTTTGCTTGTCTTATGGCAAGTGATATGAACGTAGTAAAACATTAAATTGCCATTCTATGAAAACATTTTCTTTTCTTTTATTCATCCATCTATTTTTTATGCTGTCTAAAACAAAGGATTCCTTTTTTTTTTGTTTTTTTAAAAATACTTTTATTCTTATTACTATTCTGATCATTTTTATTATTATTATTATTATTATTATTATTATGATTATTGTTTTTGTGAGCTGTGTATATAAAAGAGGAAGCAGAATTTTGTTTTTTTGCTTTTAGAATTATGTTGACTAAACACAAGCCAGCTTTGTAGTCTAACATTTTGGATACTCTTTTCCTTTCTTTTTTTCTATCTCCATACCAGCTATTATAAAACATCGTGAAAAACAAAAATAAATAAATATCAGAACGAAAAAAAAAATAGATTGACATAGTTTTTTTTAATATTTTGCTTATAATGATAATATCCTACTCGTTAGGTAAGGTATACACCTTGATTTCATGCTTGCATCTTGTTTATCTCATTTTCGATCATAGAAGAAATCATATAGACGAAATGGTCGACGACATACGATATTGGCATGCAACCGATGGACAAATAACTGTATCGACAGAACGTTTTAAGCATGGCACATCGAGTTTAAAATGGGAATGGTCATCATCATCAGTATTGACTTATACCAATCCTGAAGCTTTTCGTTCGATAAAATGGGGTAATAATGTATGTTTTGGTTTTTGGCTTTTCAATAGTCAACAATCAAAGGTCGACGAAAATGATTCTCAACAGCCACTCTTTGTAGAATTTTTAACTGCAACATCGAGTGAACCGATTGCACATCTTTGGTATCATATGAATTTCCATGGATGGCGTCCATTAGGTTTACGTTATGCTCTTATATCTAAATTTAAAAATAATTTAAATCAAATACATGGCATTCGTTTTTATCCACCATCAAATACTGATCATGGTGTTTATTATATAAATGGTATCACATTCGATTATAAACATGCAATTGGACCGCAAGATGATTATCAACAACCATGGGCAACAGCTGAAAATATAAAACGATTAAATGATGAACCATCCAAATGGATATTTAATACAAGTAATTTCTTTTATAATCGACCATGGTTAGAAGAAGAACAACAAGGACATCCATCTGATGAAGATGTTAATACATTAAAAAAGCGATGGCTTGAAACTTTACCATATGGAACATGGTAATATATTTAATATTCTTATTTAAAAGAAAAATCATTATTTTAAATTTTTATTTTCTATAGGTCACCAAGTACAAAACCAGAACCATTTAGTAAATTGCAAAAATTAGCTGAAACATATGGAATTAAACCGGATATGATTTCAAATGTACCATTAGGTAAAGGTGGATTTTATTCACCAACAAATGCATTAGATATTCAACCATTCCTATTGGGTCCATTAAAAAGAACTGCAACAACATATCAATGTCATCGACATAAGCATACTTTTGAAAGTGAAGAAGGTCAAAATGTATGGACATTATTACTTCAACTATGTGATTATTTATTGGAACAAGGATGGGCTGAAGGAAATGGAAATGTTGAAGGAAATTTAGATATTGGTAAGAAAAACAAAAACAAAAAGATTAACAAATCTTTCTTTGAAAAACATTATTGAACTATTTTTAGGGTATGAAATACGAAATTTTCCAATGTGTCTTACATATATTCGTAATGAATTAGATGGAGTTGACCGTTTACAATCAATGCTTACATCAGCTATATGGATTATGTATGGACATTTACTTACAGAAAAACAAACATCGACAATGAATACAGATATTATTCATAATTATCTTACAAATGTTGTACGTGAGATTTAAATAATTATTTGATTTTTTCTTTCGTCTAAATAACTAAATATTAATTCGTTTAGTCTCGTCTGATTGTTTGTTTGTCAGATCAAAATGAAATTATTCGACGTATTATTGCAATGCGATATACTTTGAATTATTGTTTTGAAAATCGTACACATGAACCACTTGCTTTAGGTAAATATATAATTCTATCAATATTTTTTTTAATGCTTTTAAATTTATAGATGGAACTGTACATCATCATTGGATGTGTCATTATGAATATGCTGCTTATGCATTACCTGATATAGTGAAATTTGCATCATCTATGAATGATACTGAATTTCGTTTTTCGGATAATATTCGTCGTATTCTTCGACGTTGTATTTACACTCTAGATTTTTGTCTTATTGAAAATGAAAAAATACCACCAAATCTCAATGCTCGAGCTGGTAAGAACATAATAATCTCGAAATGAAAAAAAAAAAACAAAAAAACTTTCTATTGTAGGAGATTTTGTTACATGTAATGGTCTTAATTTAACTAAAACATGCGTGTGTATTTGTAATCAAGATCAAGCTTATGATCCATTTTTTGCTGGATTGCTTGTTACTATGTGTTCAAAGGATGATAAGAATGTTATAGCATATCTTAATGAGTGAGTAGATAGATTTATTTTATATCTTCATTTTTAATCTTGAACTTTAATTTACTTGGTTTACTGTATAAACATTAGTGTGAGATTTATTATGTATCAGATATCATGAATTGAACGGGATATCGTCTAATTTTTCTTCAGTGATGAAAGAATGGCAACGCTACTCTTTTCTGCCACATCTTAGTAAATTAAATTATTCTTTTTTTCTCGCTTATACTTTCAATTTTTAAATGGTTCAAATTAGTTCTTTTTTGTTTAACTACTTAGTGGTATCGAACCAGTTCCACTCGAAGGTCATTTAACTCTCAATTCAACAGCTGCTTGTGTTCATCGACGTCCAAATTTTTATGCTAGTATTGTTGGTATGGGTAAAAATCGACGTGGTCTTGAAATATATGGTAAAATAGAAAAATTCTAGATTAATTTTTATGTACAAATAAAATCTATTTTTGTTCATCTAGGTTGGTTGGAAGATTCAAATAATTATGGTGAATATGTTCGTAATTGTTCTATATTTATTGTACCAGCTGATGAACAAGGTGTAATCGAATATTCTAATGCTGGTGTTGCTTATCCAGGTTGGCAATGGTCACATTGGTTAGTCTGAAATATGTTTTAAGATATATCTTTTTTTTAATGTTCAAATGAATTTTATAGGCCTGGTACAACATGTTTACTTAAACCACGTTCAGAATTATTTGAAGGTTATTGTAATTTAACAGCAAAAAATTGGTTAGCTGGTGGTACATCAATATCAGGTCAAGATGGAATGTTTAGTAATGATTTCTTTGTTTGGGATGTTGCTTTTCGTCGTTCCATTTATTGTTTTGATAATCGTATTACAGTTTTAACATCAAACATAAAATTATTACAACAAGCAAAACGACCTGTTATAACAACATTATTTCAATCAAATTTTTCCAATTTAGAAAACTTTGAACAAACGGCCTTTATATTAAATAATGAAGAAAAAATAAGTGACTTTCCATATGAAAAAATCTTTGAAATTAATGGTTTAGATTCCATAACTGATCATCGAAATATAACATATTATTTACATCCAAATGAAAATTCTAATCAATCATATCGTATTACATTAAAACGTTCTGAACAAGAAATGATTTATTGTAATCAATATTTTTTAATTGATCCAAAACAAAATCCAATAATTGATATAAAAACAAAACGTTTTCGCGAACCAAAATATGAAGATAATGAAAAATATTTTAAAACTACAAAAGATAAATTCGGTCTTGGATATATTGAACATTTACATGTTGATGATGGTACAGCTTCATTTGTTTATACAATTCTTATTGGACATGAACATTTAAATGAATGGGTTGAAGAATTTTCACATACATCAAAAGATCCTTGGTCGTCGTCTGACTTAAGTGATTTGCCACCTTCACTTATTTTATCAAAAAGTGATGATACACATATTTTTTATGATCGAGCTACTGATACAACATGTTATACATGTTATTCAAAAGATCGTTTGGAAGTTAATACTGGTCTTGTTCGTTCATTTGGACAACCATGTATGTCAATGGTACGTGGTCGTGGACCAGGTGCAATTACAGTTAGCATAGCAACAACTGATTTTCCGCTCAATACACCAATGTGGATGGTGCTCAAAGGCAAATGGGTTGATGCTGAATTAATGTGTGATGATGAAAATGGTTCTGTTCATGTAAGAACAGAATTGATCGATGATGATGATACAAAGGTTACTGTTTGGCAACGAATCTATATGCCTGTTGAATTTCATATTACTCAATCATATGATTAGATCATAGTGAACCAGAATCTCATTTAATCCTAGTTTTTTATATATTTAACATTTTTACTTTAGAAATTTTCTTTTAATAATTATTTATTCTTTAATAAATATATAATCATTTTTATGGGGATTTTATTTTAACTATCGATATAAAATAAATTCTTGTAGAATAAATTTAGATATGTTTCTTCGATTATCATCATCATCATCATCATCATTGAGAATTATCACATCATTTTCTAATTATTTTCCTTCATCTACATATATTCGAACATGCTCTGTCTTTAGTAATTCTAATAATAATTCACAAATTTTGTCTTCTTCATCATGTCTATCACAATCACAACGAACATTTATGTTTTGGCGTTCTAATGTTGAGCGAGAATTATATGGAACACCAAGTAAAGCATTAGCAACAAAAAAACGTCGACGTCTTCAAAAAAGTCTTACACAAATAATTCGTGATGGTCAATTAATGCGTTTATTAAAAGAATCTCTTTTACCTGAATGGAATAAATGGTGGAAAGAAATACAACCATGGGATAGAAGGTATTCAAATAAAAAGTGTTACATTAGTATCGGCCCCGTTTTTCTTTTATTTTTACCATACTTAAACGGTGAATGAGTATTGAAGATAACTTTTTTGAAGAGTAGCATTTAAGCTATCATTCCAGAGAAATTGCAATTAATTTGCAGCAATCTTAAAAAAAATGCTAGATTACTAAAAACAAAATTCAATGCATACTTTTCAGATCATGTCGACATTTAGTATCTCATGATGAATCATTGTGACTTGCTTTGTGTCAATCTTCGATGCATGTCATTTATTGTGATACACATCGATTAAACATATAATTAGTCTCTAAACTTCTGTTGCTCTAGTTCGAGCATGAGATTATGCTGTTGTTGTCTCCTATATGTACACGAAAATAAGTTTTCTCTCACGTGAATAACGTATAGCAAGAATAGAACAACAATATCATCTCATAGTGAGTGAATAAATGAATAACTGCTATTTTTCTAATGTCATGGTTGAATAGAGCTCGTCTAGTTTCCTTTGAAAAAGTTGTTTTTCATCTACAAAAATTATCTATACTTTTTGAAAAGTGTTATTCCATTGTTGCGAAGATCGATTTTTTGATGTAATAACAAAATACCATAAATACAAGTTTGTATTCAAAGATTTAGATTATGAGAACTTCAATCTAAAATAAAACAAATATCATATTCAGAATCAGCACAAAAATCTGAATCGAATTGTATATTTTATAATTAAAACTAATTTTCGTGAAATTTCGGTCGTAAAATCTCTTATTGTTATTTCTGAATACTCTCATTTGTGCTTTCCTAAGGTCAAAATTTGCCAAAAATTGGTTTTAATTAATGAGTATACAATTCTATTCACGTTTTTGTACTTATCTGAATATGATATTCGTGCCATTCGGAACTGAGAAAAAAAACGAATTAATATTTAGACTATCGAGGTTTAATGCTTGTGACGCATGTCAATTTTTAGATGCCTTTCTGAGTTTTTTTTAACCGAATTTTTCTAAGTTTCATTATAAAAACATCATTTTTATCGATAATTTGACGAGCTCTATCCAACCATGACATAAGAACGCCAACAAACAAAACTTTGAAATTATTGACACATTATATAGTTTTAATAAGAAAAAATGGTTTTTTATTTTTAGACATGAATTTTTTCATAACGATTATGTTGTAATTCATAATTTTGCTAATAATGAAGAAATTAAAAACTGGACCGTACGAACAGATCTTGATGAAGGTGTTGGTGAATCAACAGCTGAACTTGTGCCAAGTGGACATGGATCAATGCTATTTCGTGGTCATATATCATCGAAAATGGTTAATCAAAACACATTATATAATCAAAGTGGTTTTGCTATTATGTTTTCTGAACGTTTACGAGGAACATTTCTTATGCCAGCTCATCAAAAAGGTTGGACTCATTTTACTCATATACTTTTACGTATTCGAGGTGATGGACGATTTTATGAAATACGATTTCATACACCTGAGCAAGATCATCATCATTGGGTTAGTTCATAAAAAGAAAAAACAAGCTTTCTAAAACATTTAATATTTATTAATCTAGTCTGATATGTATTCAATGATTTTATATACACGTGGTGGTCCATATTGGTCAACAGCTAAAATTCCATTTGCACAATTTTTTCGTAATAATATGGGACGTATTAGTGATAAACAATATGCTTTTCAACCACTTACATGTACACAAATGTCAATATCTGTTATTGATGCTGCTGATGGACCATTTGAACTTGAAATAGCTGAAATTAGTCTCCTACGTGATTTACGTTATACATATGATAAATTTGCTTATGAACAATATACACTTCCACCTTATACAACTGTTTAGTAAGTTGATATTGAAATAATTCAAAATAAGAAAACTAATCATGTTTTTTTTTTCTTGTATTTTTAGTAATTGATCATTAGCATGAATATCATTTTGTTTGTGTGTATGTTTTTTTTCAAAGAAAAGAAAAACTCAGAAATATTCATATGTCTATTTAAAAATCATTTGTAATATTTTCCATCAGTTGCATATACATATTTAGTTGATGTATTTTTTTTTGGTTCTTCATAAACAATACGACGATTAGTTCTCACTGTTGGAATAGGTGATGTTGTTGTATATGCTGGTTCGGAATGGAGTTTTTTTCTAATCATCACATATTTTGTTGGTGATTCTTTTTTTGGTATTACTTCTCTTGGTATTATTCGTCGTCGTACAATTTGAACATATTTTGGTTGTTGTTCATAGTCAGCATGAGTATCAACTGGTATTTCATTAATAGGTTTTCGCATCTTAACTTTTTTTGGTGAATATTTTTTTGATTTATCTTTTTCATAAATAGTCTCATAATCATTGATTGTAGGCTTAATAATTACTTTTCGTAAGACTTTTGTTGGTTCATCATCAGTATAAATATATTCACTTCTTTTCTTAATTAAATCATGATTTTTTGGTGGACGTACTATTACATCACCATTTGTAGTTTCATAATAAACTGTTCGAGGTTCATGGCGACGAATTCTGAGTCGTCGATTTTCAGCAATTGGTGGAGTTGGTGTTCGTGTATTTCGAATTATTTTGATAAAATTATCATCTTCGTCAAGTATGATTTGCTCACCATCATTTGTCTGACGTATTTTTATTCCATTCTATATACAAAAAACAAAGCAAATTTTGTATGATTGCTATTCTTTTTCCTTTTTTTTTTTTTGGTAGAATATTTATAAAAAAAATTAATTAAAAAGAAAAAGAAAGATGAAACAAGAATACACACATCATTGAATTCAGTTACATTTTGTCGTCGATCTTCAGACTCAAGATTGTTCATTTCGAGATATTTTGTTCGTGGTTCTTCAATTGGTTTTGTTCGAACTATTCTTCTACTAGTTGTAATTAGTTGTGAATCATTATCATCATCATCATCATCATAATAATAATAACGTGGTGTTATCTTTGGTTTTCGATTTGGTATAACAATATATTCAACATCTCGATTCGAACGATCCGTCATATCAAATCAATTCGAACAAATTACTAACAGTAAGTATTAATTTTATTCACGATTGCAATTGAATGCTATACAACACAGAAAAAAGAGTAGAATGAGTTTCTATGTAACACAATCCGTATTTACTTATTAGTAGCCAATGAAAAATTCTAAAAAAAATAAAACAATGATGGTTTTTCTTTTTCTTATTGATCATCAGACACGTTCTATGATTAAAAAATAAGTAAAAAAAGGTTTCATCAAACAATGATTGCTTATTACTTTATTTAAATTTAAATAAAATATGAGAAACGAACACTGCCTTATTCAATCGATCAAAACATTTCAGAAAAATGATGTATAGAAAAAGTTATGCAAGTACATATAATAAATTTTAGTAAATTAAAATTTATTTAATTGGTAAACAAACTGTTCTTGGATAATTATATCGTCCATCTTCTTGACATATGATTTGTTTAAACAATGGAACATAATTATTACGACATAACGGTTCTAATTGACATATTGGTAATGCATAATATTTAAGAACAAGACCAGTATCGCGAGCAATTGATTGTTTGAATACACATGGTCGTTGTTCTAATAATAATCGAAAACCAACAGAATTTTCATCTTGTTGTGGATAACCATCACAAGTAACTGAAATATTTAAGAAAAAAACAAACAAACAAACAATGCAATAAAGCGCTCTTTTCCTAGCGCAAAATAAAGACACATTTTATCAAATCTATTCATTTTGTGTGTTCGTCTGTAGTATTTTTTTTTTTCGTTACTATTTCATTTTTCTTTATTCAATCGATGTCAACTGAAAAGAGTCGTTGGTAAGAATCTCAATGAATCAAATAGATTAGATTTTTTTTTCGTTTTTGTTTTCTTATATTCATTCTAATAGTGGTTTTGATTCAAATAAATGTATTGATTGGACAACAACTAGACGTCATGATTATAAACCAGGACCAAATGAATCGATTGATTCTAAGTATACATCAACACGAACTTTTAATGGTACTGGAAAAAGTTCAAAAAACAATAGTAAAATAAATAAATCGGAATCAAAGAAAAAATCAACAATAAAAACAAACAAAACTGTTGCATCATCAAAACGTAGTGCTGTTTTAAATAAATCCAAATCAATGAAACATAATATTACTTCTAATACATCAATGACGAAAACTAATGCTGCACAATCATCTGTTTCTTAATGAATTACACTCATCTATAGTAAAACTCAATTGAATACTTTCTTTTTTTTACATATTAACTGATTCAATCTAATCGAATAGATGATTATTGAAACGATAATTAGGGTTTCATAATAATAACATACCAGGACAGTTACTCCACATTTTGTTACGATCGAAACTAGAAATAATAAAAATTATTTTTTTTAAAAGCATATAAATAAAAAATAGACTTACTTAGCTGTTGTTGAACACCAACGAGCTGATTGAGGTCCACTAATGCAATCTGAATAGGTATTACCATTGAAGATAAATGGAAAGTAACATGAACCATAATCTATAATTTTGCATTCAACAAAAAGAATATATTAGAAGAAAAATAAAATAGTCTTACCTAAACAATATCCCCATAATCCATTTTGATCAAGATTGGATGTAACAGAACAAAATAATGAAAATGATTTTGTTGTACCTGCCGTTTCTGTACGATAAATACATGTTGAAAATAATGTGCCTTGATAAATAAATGGAAAGACACAATCACTTCCATTTCCTGTACCACCGATAGTTTTAACACGAGGTGCTAAAGAATATTTACAAAAAAATGTTTATTAAACAAATAAATTATTATCATATAAATTGTTTATTTTATTTACCTCGACAATATTTCCATTGTCGATCTCGATCAAAATCAGCTGTTAATGAACACCAACTATCATTGAGAATATCACTTATACATCTTTCATACCATTGACCAAGATAACGAAATGGAAAAACACAATCACTGGAAGCTATCAATAAAAACAATAATTAGAAAAAATATTTTATAAAAAATGTTATTTTTCTCTTCACATGTAGCAGTAGTTGTATTAGAATTTATTTGCGTTGTAAATGGAATACTTGAAATCATATCTTGTGTTGTTGATGTTTCATTAGACATTAATAAACCAGATGTTGCTAATAACAAAGACAGAAAAGTCGTGTCACGATTCGTTATTGTCGATGTTGATATTGTTGGAGTTGTCATTTGGGATGAAATGAAACTATCCGAGAATGGCGTACTTGTACTTATTAAAGTCAAAAACATTGTATTGAAAGTTGATGAAGATGGATTTTCATTACTTGTCGTATCTTGTATGTTGGATGAAAATGTTGAAGGTACATCGTTAATGCTGTTTAATGAAGGTAACGAGTTGGAAGTAGTTGAAGTTTCAAATGAACTTGATATGATCGGTGTAGAACTGCTTTCACTCATAAGAGCATTTGAAACTAAAATAGTATTCATAGTAGTTTGTTCGTTGTCTATTGCAATCGAAGAAAATGAAATAAAGGTATTTGTTAAAGTTTCACTAGGAACTGAAGTGACATCATTAGAAAGAGTACTTGCTGGCGTAACTGAGCTTGATTGTATTGAAGAGATTATTGTTGGAGTAGTTTCAAGTGCCATTGAATCAGTGATGGTAAAAATAGTCTCTAATGATTCAGGCACTTGTTGAGAAGACGACACAGAGTTTATTGTATTTATATTCGCTGCAGATGTAGAATCTCTGGTGCTAATATCAGGATTTGTGTTCAGAATCAACGATATCGGCGAAGATATGCTAGATGAAAAAGCAGTAGAATATTCAGAAGACGACTGGATAAAACTAGTAGATTCAGTGACAGATATCGGCATTGAATTTATTGTTGGAATTGTTGATGTAATAACTTCAGAATGACTAATAAGCGTAGATAGTAAAAGAAGTAAATTTGAAGTATCTGGGTTGGTCGAATATTGGTTTGGAATAGTAAGTTCTTCTGATAAGAAAAGTGGCGCAGTTGATGAGCTCACAAAATTAGTTTCTGTCGATCCACTTGCGCTTTTGTCCTCAGTATAATCATTGATGCTTGAAAATAATGTCGACTGTGATAATGGTGAAGACATTAGTCTGGTAAGAAGCGACATTGGAGTAGCAACGGTTACTTGAATTGTTATACTGGAACTTTCAGCCGTATCAATACCGTTGTTGGTGTAGATTGTTTCAGTAGGATTAGTTTCTGCTAATGTTGATAATAGTGATTCAGTAAACATTGATGGTTGTGTCATTTCTTCTGTATTGCCTGTTTGACTATTTGCAATGGTATCTAGCGATATTGGTGATGTTGAATCTTGATTTGGAACAATTGAAGGTATTGATCTTGATATAAGAGTATCTGTTGTTTGTTCGATTGTAGTAGTGTGAATGTTGATGATTCCTTCGTCAGATGAAGTCTCTTGTAGTGTATTACTTGAATATGATGGCAATGTTTCATTCTGAAGAATCGCTGATGATTGTGTTACTGAAAAGTTGTTGGTAGCCTGTTCCACTGTTATAGTAGAAGATATCATAGGCTGTGAGGCAAAAGAGATGTCTACTTCACTGCTTTGTACAGTCGTTAGTAATACTGATTCATTTTCGTTAGAAATACTAGCCGAAAACTGTTCTGATGGAAAAGTATCGAGACTATTCTGTACCGTAATAAAAGATGGTATGGTAGACATTGAACTAGATGACATGTTTGTTTGTGTTTCATTGAATGAAGATGGTAAGCTTTCATTTGGAGATATTGATGATGTTACGATCGGTTCGCGAATATTATCAGTCGATTCTGCTGTGCCTGAAGTTATTTCTGTCGCCTCTGATATAGGAAGACTGTTCGTTGATGTAACATTTGCAGATGATACCAAACTATCATTCAAAGGAAAAGATGACACTGGTGTCGACGAAGATGTATCCCAAGTTTCCTGTTCTGTAACAAATGACATAAGCGTAGGCATCGAGTGATTAGAAGAATCTGTTTGAATATCAGTAGACAACGTTGGAACACTTTGATTTGGTTCCATTGGAGAAGATTCTAATGAAACTGCTTCAACGGTTTGAAGTGTTGCAAAAGACATTTCTTCCGTAGGGATCGAAGTCGACGAAACATTCACGTCACTAAGGTTTGAAATTGACGACATGGTTTCGCTTGAACCTGCTAAAGGAACTTGAGAAGATTGAATAGTCTCCATTGTTGCCTCGGCTGTGAATGAAGGTACTTCTGTGGATAGCGAGGCAGAACCAAACAACATGTCCGTGTTATTCACAGAAGACGACGATATTGCAATAAAATCAAAAGTATTAGTAATATTCTCACTTATAACAGTAGGTAAGTTAGTTGCCAACGAATCAGAAGGTGAGTCGACTTGTGTACTATTCGAAATTCCCACTAAAGTTTCACCTGAAACATTTGTCGATGGAGTCACCGATGGAAAAGAATCTGCTGTGTCAACCATTGTCGTAGATAATGAACCAGTCCATAAAGAATCAGCAGAAGCTGTCCCTTCCGTACTAGTTGAAATTACTAGCAAACTTTCATTTGAAATATTTATCGATGGCATGGGAGACGCAAGAGTAATGGGTGTTGTCTGCATTGTCGACGATGCTATTCCAGTCGGTAACGAATCAACAGATACACCTTCGTTTGAACCATTCAAAGAAGCTGGCGAACTTTGATCTAAAAGGTTTTCCATTGGCGTGACTGATGGAAGAGTACTAGACATTTGCTGGATTGTCTCAAGTGGTAATCCCGTCTGAAATGAATCGAGAGGCACAGTTGCTTGTGTAATATTTAAAACTTCTGGCGAACTTTGATTTGAAAGATTTGTCGAGGATGTGGTCGGTGAAAGAGTATCTGGTGTTGGCTGCATCGTAGCAGATGATAATTCTGTCGGTACAGAATCCAGAGCAAAAGCTTCTTGTGTACTATTCAAAAGTTGTGGCGAACTTTCATTTGAAATATTTATCAATGGCATTATAGGCGGAAGAGTGTCAAGTGTTTGTTCGATTGTGGCAGTTGATAATTGAGCCGGCAATGAATCGAGAGGTACAGTTTCTTGTGTACTATTCAGAACTTCTGACGAACTTTGATTTGACAAATTAGTCGATGGTATATTAGGTGGCACACTGCCAAGTGTTGCCTGAATCGTGGCAGATGGTAATTCTGTCGGTATAGAATCTAGAAAAAAAGCTTTTTGCGTACTATTCAAAAATACATCTTGCTTTGTGCTTAATTCAGAAATATATGGTTCAGATGATAAGGCGCCATTGGATTCATCCGATAGTGCTGGTGTCGAAACAATTGTATCATTAGTTCGTTGAGTTGTATTTTGTAGTTGTGGACTAATTATTGACTCAGTTGAGTTGTTTGTTTGTGTAGTATTCGATGTTAATAATAAATTGTCTTTTGAAAATATCAATGTAGATAGAATTGTTGGAGGTGTATGGTCAGTTTGTTGCACAGTCTCTTGTGCTGATTCTGTACCGAGCGAAGTAGTTGATATACGTGTATCTGTCATATTTGAGAACGACGACAAGTTTTCATTCGAAAGATTTGTTGTAAATAAAGGTAATCCTGTCATCTCCGACATGAGAGGAGTGACTGTCTGTGAAGTATTAATGAGTAATGTTAAATTTTCATTCGAAAGGCTCGGGGAGGCCGGCTTTAATGAATCGTTAGAAGATGTTTGCTGATTCATTGTAAGAGATGAAGTTGTAGGTACAGTAATAGATAGTGTTTGTGTTAATGTGTCGTTAGCAGAAGGCAGCAAACTTTGATATGTGAAGTTTGATATCATGGTATTGACTATTGATGGCAGAGTAGCTAAAGTTGTATTTGATGAATCACTTCTATTGAGTAGCTCATTATCACTAGAATTCATGAATGATAACATAGTGACGTCAAAGTTTTGAAAAGTAGTATTTTTCGAAGAATTGCTTCTCTCGCCAGTATTCGTAACGGATATAGAAAAGTTTTCCATAGGTTGTACAGTAGCATTTGGATTCCTTATTGAAAGCGTATTAGTTGTATTTGTATTAATAACAGCAGATGAACTTAATGAAGTTGTATTATTTAATAATGAAGATTTGTTCAGTTGATTTCGTTGAGTACTGTTAATTAAATTAATTAATGTTGAAATTAATATATTTGACGTAGTATTATTCTCAAGTGAGCTGTTAGTACTGTTGACATTTGTTTTTGATATTATAGTCGTTGTTTTTATTGTTGCTGTTGTATTAGCTAATAGATCGAAGCTACCAGAATTGAATGAATTGGATGAATTCATAGTATCATTTGAAACTGATGATAAATCATAGACAATTCCCGTTGGATATATGAATGGTTTTGTATTATTATTAATTGTGTGAATTGTAAACGCTGCAGTCGGTCTAGGTACATTTGTCATTTCTTGAACAGATTCATTCACCTTTACAGAACTATTGTTGGAAGTATTATATAAAGTCGCTGTTAGGCTAATTATCCTTGTCGAATTCTTAGACGATATTGTTGTATTCATTGTATTTAAAACATCTTCAACTGCATGTGTAACATTAATAGATGTTCCATTACGATTCTTGATAGTTGAATTAGTAAATATATTTGGAATATGAGTAGAATTGAGAAAAATTGATGAGAAAATAACAGTTTTTGTTGTATTTTCAGAAGAAAATAATATGGTATCGGTAGTATTGATAACATTTATGAAACGAGTTGTTGAATTGATCAACTTACTAAAATTTGAATTTAATGGTAAGTTTTCAATAGAATTATTGCTCTTTGATGACTGTGCGTTAGTGTTCAATCGAATAATTAGAATGAACATGAATAAAAGTTGTTTCTTATCCCAATTTAAGAAACTTGACTTCATATTAATTGCCGGTATACGCACAATTTCATAAGAAACAAAAATACTCTTTCTTGTTAATAACTAATGGCCAAAATAATGAATAATATTTATTCGATCTTCATGTTTCTTTCTGCACTCTATATTTCTTTTTTGCTCGATAACATGTATGAGAGATGTAAATGAAAAGTATTCATAGAACAACAACATGAAATTAATTTTCCATTTAGAATCAATTTCATATTAACTGTGTATGATTATGTGTATCATCGATCTATATTTATGCAGGCGAATACACCATATATCCTACATATATTATATGTTGATGGAAACAAATCGATTATGAAAATATGTTCTGACGAACAAGCGTCTACTAATTCGATATGCTTTTAAAAATAAATTAGGGTGTTATTCGGTTTTCTTTTCAATCAGAGTTTCCGATAATTTTACGACGAAATGTCAGTTACATAAAATATAAATTGTTTTAAACTTAAAAAAAAAGTATAAAAGAAGTCCTACATTAACTCGTATTACTTCACAAATTTATTAAAGAACATAATTCAATTTAAATTATAAATAATTCAGGTTATACTGTAAGTTATGTAAAGAGAAACAATTGAGTTTTTTTTTTTTTTGTTTTTCTTTATGTTAGAATAATATCATGTTAACTATCAAAACTGTTAATTCTTAATGATTCATTTCATAAAACAGATTATTACTTGAAAAATTGTTTACAATTAATTTATATTTAGAATCATTTACGAGGTCTTCTATTATTAGTCATTAAATTTATATTGAACTGAACGAACAAGTTTTATTTATTTATAAAAATCAAAAATAATTACTGTTCTAATTTATAATAAACAAAATAATAAATTGATTTGATTTTAGTTTGGTACTACATCAGGTACATGAAAAATATGATAGTAAGGTGCAGGTTGAAGACCATGCTGTCGATTACATTCAATACATATTATGTCGGTTGTATCGATTGAACAAGTAGTAGCCGATGTATCAACAGATTCAAGATAAACACCGGTATGATTAGATGATATAGTTTCATAAGAACAACTGCTACGTGTTGACGAATCAAACATTGAATCAATCGATGTAGGTGGTTGTGTTGATTTTAAATTATGATTATTATATGATTGTTTTTGCTTGCGAGATAATAGCAACCAAATAAGTGTTATTATAAATAGAAGAATAGCAGCAATGACACTTGCACTTGTAAATAAAATCAAACGAGAACTAGTCATTGTTTGTTGATATTTTTGTTGTTGAATTGACGAACAAGTTAATTGAGATACTATTTTTAGATCAAATATATTCGATGGTGGCATTGGTGGTGGTGGAAGAGTGAAACGAGGTGGTGGTGATAGAAGTCGAGACATCATTTGAAATAATCAACAGTAACAATAACGTAATATTTATAGTTCGGATATGTATCAAGCTGGTACGTTATCGCTTATAGAGTGTGATGTATTCATAATATATTTGTCACTAATTATATTCACCTGCCTATCAATAATATATTCATAAAATGAACGATTCCATCAATTAGGACAAAAATGAACGACAGCTGTAGAATAACTCGACATTGAAAAAAATCTCAATTACTTTCTTTCAATTTTTTTTTGTTTAAGTTAAGTAACTATACTGTCAAATGTGTTCAACTTCATATAAAAATCAGTTTTGTTTTCTTTTTTCTAGAGAGTAGAACATTGACATACTTCATTTGACCATGTTGCCTTTCACATTTGTCATTTGAATAACATATCATACATCTGATCAATTACCAATTTCATCGCTTCTCTATTTCTTCTCCTTTTCTTCAATCTACAGAACATGATTCGCTAACGAAAACATTACAAAAGAAAAAATACGAATCAATTCATGTTATTTTTCGTTTCAATAAGTTCTCATAACCTGTTTTTATCTGTATTATAATATAAGCCCCAAATCCATTAATCAATCAATCAATCAATCAGACCAAATACTCGAATTTGTGTCCTTTTTTTATATTTTTCTTGCTATTGTAAACAATGAAGAAAAAAAAAATTAAAAGAATTATACGTAGATAGAAGTACAAAAATCAGATCAGATGTATTTGATGGAAGAGCGTGAGAAGTAGACGGGGAGAGAAGGGAGAGAGAGAGAGAGAGAGGGAGAATCAAACGAACGAACGACACACGACAACGTATCGACGGAGATGTTTGACTTTGAGTGAGACGAGAGAATGCAAATTTTTTCTCTCTGGCTCTCTTCAATTGTTCTGAGAGAAAATACGTACGTATGTGTGGTGTTGTTGCCGTTACTGCTTGTCTTTCTTTAAAACAATCATTACACAAAGGTGCCAACTACTACATCGAACTTATTCATTTCGTTTGTTTGTTATCATTTTTTCATCATCATTTATGTTAATACTCATGCTTGTCTATTCAATCGGTTATTGCTTTTCTTCAATTTAAAATACACAAAAAAGTAAAACAAATAATAAAAAAGGATTAACAAAATAAGATTTAATATTTATCGAAAACAAAAATGCCTAACAATTGTTCAACACTCATTCAACGCAAACAGAATATTCTTCATAAAATTTTACGAAGCAATAGTGATGGAAAAATTCAAAATGGTGAGAATAAATCTAATTTATTCGTTCTAGTAGCTTTTAAATAATAATGAAAAAATTGTTTGTTGAAACCCTATAGAGTAAAAAAAATAAGATTATCATTATAATTATCATATTCAGTGAAAGGTTATTAGAAATTAGAATATTTTTTTATTTTTACCTATAGAAATAACAATCTTTAGAATTTTATATGAATGCACATGTACACAGTAGGTGATTTATTCCAGATTTTTCTTTCTTTTATTTTTTTGCACAATTAATATATTGAAAAAATACACAATCATTTTCAATTGAACTGCCGATAAAAAAAAATAAAATAGATGCATCGGAAAAAAACACTCCGTGTTATAACAAAGATTATTCTTTCATTTACATCAATTGTTAAAAGAAAAAAAAAAAAAAGAAGAAAGTAGAAAGAAGATGAATCCTTCAAACTGCATATATTACATCTATGTTCATGAAATTTTATTATTGCACAAGCACATATGTTCCTTCTGTGATGTTGATGTTATTCTCTCATTTGAAATAAAAAATACGTATAGTATTAAAAAAGAAATCCATCACAAAGAAAACAAACATTATTCCAATCAATGAAATGTTATTATATTGATTACAATAATTTATATCAAAGAAAATATAATTAACTGAACGAAATTAGAGTGTTTTCTTTTTTAAATTATCAAAATCGTTGATTTCTTTTTCTTCAATAAAAATTTTTTTTTTTTTGTAAGTAGTAATTCAATATTTCTAAATGGAAAATAGATTATTCAAATTTACAATAAATAAAAAATAAAACTAATCGTTTTATATTAAGCTGTAACTGAAACTACTGCTGAATTATGCGTAGCTGGAACTCGAAAAACTCCTGCTTGCTCTCCTACGTCAACACAGCATTTAACAGCATCATCAACTACTCGTCGATCGAATGCATTTAATACAAACCGTATTCAACCATCTTCAAATCATTTTTATGATACACATTTACCATCTATACGAGATTCGAATGATAATTTTGAACGACAAAATCAAATTCATGATGAACTTCATGATCGTCCTCGTTCAAAAAAACCATCAATGAATACTAGTCCAAAAAGTATGGGTCGTCCTCCATCGACTTCGATTTCATCGATTTTTAATGCGCTTACAAAGCGATCAACAGAAAATTTAATGAGTACATATGGTGATTTTGAAGAAGCAATCAATCCAAATACAGTATCAGCTAGTCGTCGATCACATCAACTAAATAAAGGAACTGAAATGAATCAAAATTCAATGAAACAAATCATCGTACCTCAAAAGCAAATAGGTGATAATGGAGGTGATATTCGTTTTTCAAATAGTTTAGGTGAAATAAATCAACAACGAACATTAGGAACATCAGCTCGACATCGAACAAATGCACCAAAAATACATGTTGAGTCGTCTCTTACACAAGACACAGTAACTAAAGAACGAACTACTACTGGTAAATATATTAGTATTAATTCATTGATTCAAAAAGATTTTCATGTTTATAAAATTGAAATTTTCTTTGTTTTTTTTTTTTCTATTGCAGGTCAACATTATCAACGTCGTACAAATCATACTATCAAAACTCCAATCAAACAAAAGATTGATAAATATCGTCGTCGTTCTGAAGAAGTTACACAAGCAATGAATGGAAACACATTAATAAATACAAATAATAATGGTTTATCTTCTACTGTTCCTTCTTTAGCTGCTTCACAAGTAGCTCGCTCAAAACAACCACCACCATCTCCAACAACTGTTCGTCGTGTATCATCAGATGCTGAATTCGAAGCTCGTCTCGAAGTACTTCGTTTATCAATGGATACAAATTTTATTCATACAGATCAACAACTACAAAGTCAATCACAACAATATTCTTATAATCGTACTAAATCTCCATATTTATCTAATAATAATCAACAAATAACTCCAAAAGCATCAACATCAAATCCTCCAACACCACCTGTACGACTTCGTCGAAGTCATCTACCAACACAACCAACATCGTCAGCTAATTCTTCTCGAAATCAAAATGTCAATAATATTAATAATCGACATCCACAACAAAAGCAAAATTCAGTTAAACAATCAACAAAATCTAGTTCAGGAAATCTTTATTTAGCATTTATAGCATCACGTCATTTTTCAACAATAGATGATACTTTATTTGAATGTAATATTGATCATCAAAAATTACTACAGATATTTACTTGGCTTAAAGGTGTTGAAGATCATCGTCATGAACAATTAGATCATGAACAATTATTAAATGAACAAAATCAATTTATGCTTAATCAAGAAGAAAATTTATCATTATATTCAGAAATACAGTTTGCTGTTGATGATGTACCAGCAAACACGACTGGTAAACCATGTGAAAAAATTGAAACAATGCAATTTGAAGACTAATAGAAAGGAAAAAAAAAGCTGTGATATATACATTTTAGTATTAATGAGTATTTGGTGCTTTTTTTTTCTTCATATTTATATATATTTGTTGAGAAAGGCCGTTTCTTTTTACAATCTTATATATTATCTTATTTTTGTTTGTGATTAAAAAAAAGAACAAAGTTTTGTTTGGAATATTCAAAGAAAAATTTAAATATATTACATCAGTATCTTGCATTTTGACAAATATTTTTTAATATTAGACATTAATAATCAATATTCTATTGATTAAAATATGATCAAAATATATTAAAGAAAATGGTCATATGCATTTGGAAAAATATATTCACCAATAATAATTTGAATGAGATGTTTATTTCCATTTATTCAAGTTATTTATATAATTGATATAATGCATTAATTGTTTATACGAACAAAAAGAAAATGTTATAAAAGTTTGTTTATAGAGCATTTGAAAGTTGGTGTATTATTTGTAGACTAAAATAACAAGTATTTCTTCTTTTTAATGAGGAATTTTGTATGAGATTTCTTTGAGTTCGTCTTCATAATTATTCAACAATAATATTAATGATCTATTGAGTTTTGTATTGAGAATTTATTTTATAGAGATAAAGACACAAAAATTGTTGTTACATCGAAACATATTGTTAACACATGTTTGATATTAAATGTTAGACGCAATATTTTCTCTTATGTATTTATCATACATCAACGACAGATCGATGATTTTTGTACGTACCAATAAAACTATGGATTTTTATCATTCTTTTGATAACAGTCGAAAAACAATATTATCTATAAAATAAAAAGAAAAATTTACAGATTGAAAATATAGATGCTGAACGCTGAAATACAAGTATCTAGAGACAATTTATTCGGGAACAATGTATAGAGAATTAAAATTTTATTAGACAAGAAAAATTCGTAATAAAATGTTTTGTGAACAATATGCGAACAGAAATTCTTGAAATTTTTTAATTTTACTTAGAATAAATGAATATCGAAATAGAATCTGTAATCAAATCAATCAATATATATTTAATAGATAGTAATGATCCGATGAAATATACTGCTATATTTGAACTTATATCGATTTATACACTTGCTATTTAGAAAATTTCTTGCATAAAATATTACAAAAAAAAAAAATACCATTCACTAGAAATATGCTTATACAAATGTGAACTTTGATGAAACAAATATTTTTTAACAGTATTTTTTTTTAAAGTCTACATTTTATAACAAGTATTTTATTTAAAAGCAGATGTAGATTAACCTGAGACACATGTATTTTGCTAAGGCATGAATATTGACGAAATACATAATGTAACAGCAAACATAAGTAAAAGTGTTCAAATTAAAAGTATAAATTAAGAGACGAACAAGACACACATGCATTGCTTATTGGTCTTTAAAGATTGTTAGAATATTGTGATAATAGACAGGTGAACTTTTTCATCTAATTGAAAAAATGCAAAAAAAGTTCATTAAAAATACAATAGCTCTTAACAAATAACAGTTCCGAAGAAAAAAAAAGAGGAAAGTATTGTTTATGCGAAAGGTAATAATTTGAACAGTCATTATTAATAATGTGAACATATGTATCTTGAGAACGTCAGTTTTATAAGATTAACATGTATTCGATAGAATACTCATATTGTTTGTTTCATAGTTACTGATAGCGACATCAGGACGATTATCATTATTAAAAACATTGATAATTAATCCAGATGATTTATTATCTTCTTCAGTCGAAAATCTTTTTATTTTGTACGTCGAAAGATCTTTATCTATGTGCTAGCAGTATATCAATATTTTTGTCCACTGTATTGGATATTATAGTATTCAATTGAATGATGTAGTGTAAACCAGTAATATCAAAGAATTAAGTTGAATTATTATTTCTTATAGAGAAGATAGTTTACTTATCAAATGTTTCATTTCTGTCTCAACGGAAAAGAAAACCTCACACCATGATCTATAGTATTAAAAACAGCAATATCTAAATGATAAACAACTTTTAAAATCAGCAATATTGACCGAATGAGATGAAGTACTAGCCGAAAGAATCGTTTATTCTTGAAAAGAATCATTAATTTCAATTAAGAATAAGTTTTTGACTCTAGAACATTCTATTTTTGTTCGTTACAAATCCATTGATTCTTCACCATAGATTCCTGACGGTAAAGGATTAAATTTGCTAATAATTACAGTAGTCATTTTTGACTAATGCAGTTCTAATTATTAGAATTAAAAATGAATATATTTTAACAAGATTTAGTCCATTTCTTTGAATAATTATCCAGAATAGAAATTTTGTTTTGTATTAGCTAAAGACTATTTAGTTATTTTTCATGAAATTTTCCCTAAGAAATAATTGATACTACTTTATTTTTTGAACATTGAAGTTTGTTCATTTTGAATCTTATAGAGAGCTAACTACAATAAATCGATAAGAAAAACATGTTAGATGCATCACAAAAAAAAACACAGTAACGAGAATGAGCAAGGTATTTTTCTTTTAATAATTGTTTGATGATTGTTTAATTGGAAGCTTGATATATGCAAATAATTATTTTCGACACCATTAGGTATTAGCCAAGAATCAGGTCTGAAAATCAAACATTTGATCATAACTTGAATTAATCTACGCCAACGTAAACACTCGCCCAAGCTCATCAGATTTATGATAGGATGAGAAAAGAAATTCTTTTCCTTGGAAATAGAGTGCGTGCCTCTAATTAAAACGTAGTTTTTATATGCTCATGTTTCCTCATTAACATCTTAGCGGAGCATTGAATAAATGAGCTCGAATTTAATTATTGAGTAGGTACGTGTCTTGTCTACATATTAGTAAAGGAGCTTTTTAAAAAGTTCAAAAACTACTCGAGTTATGAGCGGTAAAACTATATCGGTTGATCGCCTTCGAATTAAATGTAATATTAGCAAGAAGAACATTGATGCAAAAGTTATACCAAATTAGAATGAATCAACGTAAATATATAGAAGAGGAAGCAATGTTCAAAAATCGTATTATATCTGCTTACAAACTTTGAAATCGATCCCAATGTGTCGCTAGAGCACTTTTCTTTATCATTCTATAAAGATTCATCTTGATATGGTGCTCTTTTGATTACATATGCTTTCATAAAGCTTCATCAATTTCACTCAAAAACATTCTAATAAGTGCACTTTTTCTAATCAGATTGCATGTAGAAATTTTGTCCTAAACTACAATAGAGCTGTATAAAATGCATAGAAATCATTCTATCTGACAAAATTTCATCTATATCTGCTATATGATCTTAAAACCAATCGGTTGTTTCGAAGCCGAAGTTATTCAGCTCAATTTTCTTTATAAGGTAATATCAGTTTAGTTCGATATGACAAAGTTTTTAATAATAATGAAGCCTATTATTCAAAAGCAATAAGTTTAAAATTTTTTTGTAGATTGAATCAATAAGTTTTGACGAAAACCAATCTTTTTTTATAATGGCGTTATTTTACATTGTTTTAATTGCTATGGTTCATGCAATAGATCGATTAATTTTTCTTTGCTTTTTTCACTTTAAATCATTTCCACACAATCTATTCATCCTAGAAATTAAGCAAAAAAGTTATTGCTTTCAAACCTAAAACACAAAAGAAAACGAAATTTCGTAAATATAATGAACGTTGATTTTTAATCAAAATCGTGAAAATTTCATTGATAAAAATCTGTCTTCCATTATCTGGAGATAGACTTTTTTATGTGTCATCAAAAAAATCTTGTTTAAGTGCAATTGTTTTGAAGGTCCTGAGTATAATGAAAAGATAAATAGTGATAATCAGTGGTCATCGAAGTTCTGAAACTTTGATGACCACTGACAATTTATAATATTTTCGCAAACCTGCTAAAATTATTGCGCTTGTCTATGACATGTGAGAGTAAATTTCATATTTATTATTCAGTAAAGATGTATTGATAGGAGTATATTGTCACCGCGTCTTGATGCGTGCAATTCAACACGAATATAATCAATTCAGTCAGCAAACTCATGAAATATACTAGTAGTTGTAGAGCACTTAGTCATTTTTCTTCGTTTTCTTTCTTGATATGAGATGAGTGAGCTATTTTCTTCACGACTCATACTGTAAAACAATAAAATGTTCATGAAAAAGACAATATTTTTCATAGATCACATCTGTTCCTCGTCAATAAATCACGTTCAGCTTCTGATCAGCTGTCAAGTTCGTTATAACGGATTGTTGTAATACATGTAACTATTATATAATAGTACGTGGTATTAACAGCTTAACGACTAGCAACAGCAATCGAATGGAGGAAACTCTATTCTAATTTCTGACGTCGATTCATTAATAAAATCTTATTTTATGTGTAGTGTTTTGTACTCTAATAAAATCGATGATTATCATGCTAAACTTATCCACTCTTTTATCCTAGCATTTAGGAATCTAATAATAACAGATAATGCTATTTAGCGGCTCCAGCGTAAATAACAATACAGATTCTCTAAAAATTCAGAACAACAGTCTAAATCATCAGCGATAGATAAACATTTTTGAAGTAAACATGTGTGCTTATATAACTCTCTTTGAAACTTGATTATTATATCATCGATTGTGATTGTTATACAGCAACGTTTCATAATATATTCGATCTTATTTTTGTTATTTTTATCTTTTTCAAATTTACGAAATTATCTCTTGTACAATAACAAATGGATAGAGTTTTTTCGCTTTTATTCACCGTATATATAGAGCAAAGATTTTGCTGATCACTGCTCAATGGATCACTCGTTCTTTGAATAATAGGCGCAATTATTATTAAAAATTTAGTCATGTCGAATTACACTGCTAGTATGTTACAAAGAAAATTGAGGTGAACACTTTTGTTTTGAAACAACCGATTAGTTTTGAGATCATGTAACAGATAGAGATAAAATTCTGTTAGATAGAATGATTTATATACATTTTACATAGCTGTATTGCAGTTTAGGACAAAATTTATGCATACATTTCAATTAGGAAAAGTGCTTTTATTAGAATGTTTTTTGAGTGAACTTGATGAAGCTTGATAAGAACATATCTAATCAAAAAAAGTATCATATCAAGATGAATCTTTGTAGAATGCTAGAGAAAAGTGTACGCAAAAACATTCTATAACGAACAATAGGATCGATTTCGAAGTTTGCAAGCAAATATAACACGACTTTTAAACATGCCTAGCTCTTCTATATATATTTTCGCTGATTCATTCTTATTTAATATAACTTTTGTATTAATGCTCTTCTTGTGGATATTGCATTGATTTCGAACGCGATCAACCAATATAGTTTTACCGCTCATAACTCAAGTAGTTTTTGAACTTATTTAAAAGCTCTTTCATTAATAGGTAGACAAGACACATACCTACTTAATTATTAAATTCGAACTTATTTGTTCAATGTTCCGCTAAGATGTTAATGAGAAACCATGAGCATATGAAAACCACGTTTTGATTAGGAACATGTATTTTATGCGTCAACAAACTTAAATGACGATGATAATAGTAATTGTGTTATTATGGAATGTTCTGGTTTCATTTGAGAATTAAGTAATTATATGAGATTATGATACTTCTTCTAAACTTAGTAACATTCATATATTTTTTTTCTTTAATCTTATATTTATTGATATTAAATTACTGTATATAATTTTTTTTTAAATTACATGTGGATATTTTGCGTTCAGAAAATAGCACAGATGACATGTTTAGAAGTCGTTCGTGTATCTTAGTTCATCAGTATTTTATTGTCATCACAATAAAATTTATTCAATGGTAAAAAAGCAAAATTTTCATACGTTACTATCAACTTTGTGCCAATTTCGAACAAAAAGAATAGTTTACTTGAAGTCTTCTTAATTTATAAATAAATACTATTTTGCATTCTGTACTGATAATAAGATTCTGATGATATAATACTTACTAATATTATAATTTCTTAGTCTTTTTCTTATAACAAATTCTCGTTGTTGAAGCTGAAAATAAAAGATTCATCTTTATGTTTTCTAGTCAATTGCTCACTATGTTCGAAGAAAAAGTAAAACTCCTTAATGAAGCACTTATGTAAGTGAGTTATAATTCCAAGAAGCTTCAAGAAAACATGAGGAATAGAAATGTGTACATTAGAACATTTCTCTCTTAATATTTACTTCAAATTGAGTTGTATTTTATTTGTTCTATTCCGTAATAATATGACTTTCATGAATAGAATGTTCAACATAGACAATAATATGTTTCTCTAGAATAATTTTTAGGATACAAAAAAAATTCTATCTAGCTATGAATTAGATGTTGATTAATTTCTATTAAAATTCATAATTAATTAAAAGTAAATAAATCTAAATGAAATAGTTTTGTCTATTGTATTGTTTTTTATTGCATTGCTTGAACAGTTTTCCATGATACTCGTGTTGTAATTTTATCCCACCATTGTTTAACATGTGGTCGTGATTCGAACAAATGACCTTCACCAAGTTTAACAAGCCATGCACCATAAGGCAAATGAAATAAATCAGCCAAAGTAAAATTCTATACGTGATTCGAAAACAAAATATATAAAATAAAATCTTATTTTTTAAAAAATCAATGATACTTACTGCACCACCGAGATATGGTTGTTTAGATAAAATCTTTTCATAAACATCTAAATTGGCAGTTAATGTTGCTTTTAATGAAGCTACTTTAGCTTCATCTGCTTCACCTTGTCCTTTCATTCTGAATTCAAAGAACATTTATACAAAAAACTCATTTTGTTTTTTTTTTTACAAAAATAATGTTTACTTTTTAAAAACTCGTTCTACTACAATACCACTAGCATAAGGATCAAAATAAGATGTTTCTATAGATGCAGCTTGTTCAAATAGACCTTGTGCTTTTATGTCTTTTGGTATTAATTCAGTACCTTTGCCTTTATATTTTAATTCCAAATATCGACAAATAGCTCGTGATTCTATGCATGTATATAAATACAATTGTATGATAGATAAAAACTAAAAACAAACCATAAATTTTAAAACCATCTTCATCAATCAATACAGGAATAACGCCAAATGGTTGTTTTTCTTCCATGTATTTTGCAGTCTACAAATTTATTTTTTATTTTTAAACTACTAAATGTCTTTTTTTTTTAAATTTACTTTATGTTCACCACCAGCAAAGTCTACTGATACAAGTTTAAAATTAAGTTGTTTTTCAGTTAATGTTGCTATTACACGTTGAGTACATGTTGACATAGCTAAACCATACAAAATAATCTGTGCCTTGTTGTCCATTGAGATTTTATTTTAGTATAAATCTAAAACATAATAATTATAACTACATTATAAAATACTCATTATTATTTTAGAACTCAAGAAATTACTTAGTTTATAAACCATAGAGAAAATAAATGCTTTGTCAGTTTGTTGGAAAGTCACTACGGAAAAAAAGAGAGATAAAAGAAGAATATCGGTAGGAACAAACTAAATTATGTGATGTCTGTCACCAACACATCTTCTTTTCTTTCTTCATAACAGTCTATTCATGACTTGTCGTTGTCATAGTGATTAGCTTTATTTTACCTTTCGTATACAATATTTTATCTCGAGTTTATTACTTTTTTTTTTTTTAAGTGCAATAAATTATTCTACAACTTTTGCTTAGTCAAAAAACAATTCAATTGTTCTTGTGAGTAGATAAGAAAGAGAGAAGAATCGATAACTGATGAAATCAGTCTTCTCGAGAAATTTTGTTTCTTCTATGTAAAATTTTCTCACAAGGTCTCCGAAAATAATTCTTGGTGGAATTAGTTCTATAACACTTGTTTATACTGTGTTGACGTCGGTTGAAATAGTCAATGATACTTACATATACACTGAATCTAACTGTTGATGATAATCAACTTTATTTTATCTAGCAATTTCACTACCAATCAGACTAGTTTTCATATAAAAGGTGATAATGTTTTTCAAGTACTACAAAATAGTATAGAAACATCCACAAAAAAAGACATATGCTTCTACGAAAAATTTTAAGGATACTATTCTGAAGACATGATTTTATATTGTGTTGCATTAATATTGAGTTGATTTCGATTAGAAAAAGTGCGATATGAGGAAAATTAGTACAATATTCTAAATCATCATTCAAAACTAGACCTATGACAGTTCCATATGAGTTCCGATCTTGAGAACTATCCCAACAGTTCTTTTGATAGGAACTGATCTATATAGCAATTCTTTTTGAATGAATTCGTGCCTCCAGAAATCTCATTTTAACATTTCCATTAGATTTATAACTGCTCGATTATGGGCCAAGCTTGTAAACTGCACAAATGTACTGAAATAAAGCTGACTGGAACTTAATGCTAAAATAGAAGTGCTCAATTCTCAAAAAAACGAACTAATTACTAGATCTAGTTCTTAAAAGAGCACTATGTTTTTGACACAGTTCACGAAAAAATAATCGGTTCTTTGAACTGAGAGCTGTCGGAGGTCTATTCAAAATCGAGTAGACATATGCGAGTGTCAAGTATTTCTATGCAAGTTTTTTTTTCGTCCAAAAAAAACTGACCCTAATCCCTTTGAGGTTTGAGTCAAAAAAATTAATTCCGACAAAAAATAATTTCAATATTCAAAACAAAATTTTAAGGTTGTAAAATGATAACAGAACTCAAAATTACAGACGATTAAAGAATAAAACGTGCGTTTTGATGGAACTCACCTTTTTACTCATTTCTGAGAGGATCATGGACAACTTTTTCAACAAAAAAATAATTCATAGCAATATTTGAAAATCACTTGTCTACTCAGTTTTGAATGCTAATTTAGAATCCTCTATTCATTTTACTAATGTCGCACTTTTTCTGATCGAAATCTACTAAATATCAGTGAAACACAGCGTAAAATCATGTCTTCAGAAGTGTCCTTAGAATTATTTCTTAGAAGCACGTGTGTTTTTTTTCTTTAGATGTTTGTATACCTTTTTGTAGTGCTCCAACAGCATTATCAAACTATATGAAAATTAGTCTGATTGATCGTAAAATTGTTAGATAAAAAAATTGATTAGCATCAACAGTTACATTCAGTGTACATGTGACAAACATTGAGTATTTCAACAGACGTAGACACAGCACAAACGGATGTTGTAGGACTAATTCCATCGAAAATTATTTTCAATAACCTTATGTGAAAATTTGACACAAAAGAAACCAAATATCTCGAAAGGAACGATTTCATCAATTATAATGTCCCTTCTTCTTTTATGTATTTATTTTTCTTAGGAATAATATCATTTATATAATTCATTTCTGAATTCAAATAATAGTTAAAATATAGTTTCAAATTATTATCGACTAGTTGTATTGAATTGTTGATAAAAAGCAGCAGTAGGTGCTGATCGATATAAAATTTTATTAAGATAATCTTCACGTTCACGTTGTATTTTAGCAAGATTTTTATTTTCATTTGCTAAATAATGATTATATTGACGTTTATCTTCTTCAATTTGTTGTTCACTAATTGTTGCTTGTTTAGCTAAAGCATTTGAATATTGTTTCCAAGTTTCATCAAAACATTTTTCAGCATTTTTAATTTTCTAAATAAAACAAAATAACACAAAAAAAAAAAGGAGCAGCCATATGGAAGAGTAATGTACTTGACGGTCAGCAATCTGTGTCAATTGTTGATGACGAATATCATCTAATTGTTCTTGATTCATTCCTTTCCATCGATCAACAATAATATGAGAGCGAGCATCGAGTAAATTTTTTGAATTTTCTGTTAACATATCACTAAAAGCAGTATTAGCTATCTCAGCTAATTGTTCATCTGTCTGTCGTGTTTTTTGTTCATGTGCTCGAATCTTTGCTTCATTAGCCTATGCAACAACAAAACAAATTACTTCAAATTTTGTATTACCCAATAATAGAATCTAACAAGTATTTCATTATAATTTCGTGTTGCTATTTCTATAGCTCGATGACATTCATTTTCAATTTGTTCAAATTTATTACTTCGTTCAGATAATTTTATTTGATTATAATCATATAAAAGATTAGCTAAATGTTCTTCTCGATTCTTTTTTGTTTTATTTATAATCTTATAAAATAAATAATTTTATATCATCATTATAAAAAAAAACAAAATGAAAATATTACTTGTAAATTAAAATAACGTTTTAATTGTTCTTGTTGAATTTTTTTTCGTTTTGATGCTTGAAGATCTTCTCCAATAAATATTTGACCAGATGATGGACCTAAGCGAGAATCATTATCATTGATTCGTGTAGGTGTTAATTGTTTCCATCTATTTGGATCATTTAAATCCCATTCTTTTGCATGTTCAGGTTTTTGATATAATCGACGATAATTATTTAATTCTTGTTCATATTGACGTTTTTGAGAAAGTTCTTCTTGTTCAAGAAGTATTTGTTTTAAATCATTATTTATCATTTCACGATCTAAATAAATTAAAATTTTTTTAAAGAGAATTTATTTTCTCTTTTACCAAAAGCATCATTTCGTTGTTTTTCTAAATCTTTCATATGTTGTCGTTCTTTGACTTGTTCATCAAGACTTATTTTATCAATCTAGATAATATTTAAATATTATTTTATACGTATTATTTATAATAATTTAACTAACACCAATAGTTCGATATTTAACATTAAAAATACGAGATAAACGTTTTTTTTCTTCAGATCGACGTCGTTCTATAGCTGCTTGTTCTTTTATATTAATTGGCAAATTAAGAAGGAACATTTTTTGTTTATATAAATTATCTAGAATAACAGATTTTGAAAGAAAAAATATTTTTAAGTTAATTTGTCTCTTTGATAGAATAATGATATAAGTTATACACATGGTTTTAATTAGAGTCCTTAGTGACAGAATAAAAAAAATTACTTCAATTGACAAATTAAAGTTAGTTTTTTTTCTAACATAAAAATATATAAAATTAAATAAAATCCATCTGTTTTTATTCATCAGTATTATTAATTAAATGAATATTTATAAGAATAATAAGTCAAAAAAATTTTGTATCAATTTATTGGTAACAAATGGTTGAATGATTAATTAATTTAAAGAATCATTTGCATACAAAACAACTGATTTTTCTATAGAGTTTTCTTTTACAATTTTTATTGATAGTTGTTCAAGTTTTATTGAATTAAATAGTACTCGGATATCTGAATTTATGAAAAATTAACAATCTTTTTGTTTTTTAAGTTCATAAAATCTAACAATATATTCGTTATCATCCTTATAAAAACCATTCAAATGGAAATCTATGCACATGTTATAAGAATTATATGATTCAGTTATTTGTATAGATTTTGTTTTTAAAAATGTAAAAGTTTAATTGCATTTTGTTAGAAGATTATTCGAAAAAAAGGATGCAATTTCTTTTTGTTTAAGCAATTGAATGAATTTTCCATATTATCAATTGATGTATGCAATAAGTATATATTTCGAGTATTCTTAAATATAACAGCATGAAACATTTCATCCACAGTGTGATGCAATCGAAAAGAATCTTTTATTTGTTTAAATATCCTTTTTAAAAACAAAAGAAAATTGTTTATATCTCGAAACAACAAAATTTAGAAGAAGTATAAACTAAATGCTATGATTCTTTCAATATAATAAGAAATATCTTTCTTCGTTTTTTTTTCTTTTCTTGTTTCGGGTTAATTAGCACAAAACAAGAGAAGTTGTAAATGAAAAAAAAATCTGCCAAAATAAATTAAATTCAATTTCTTTTAACTTCTTAAATTATATGGTTAATGTTTTCTTTAACGGTTTGATCATCTCAGCATGTAGACAACAGAGGCAAAAAAAAAAAATCAATGAATTGTAACATGATGATGTAAAAATAAAATCGTTCCATCCTAACATCATTTTGTTTCTTTTTGATCAGCTATCAATATTAAAAGGACACCATTCATAAAGATATTGTGTGAAAACATGACATGTTTCTTTGCGGTTTAGTAGTCATTTTTCATTCCGTTTTCTTTAATGTTAAAACAAATGGTCATCTAGTGGAATTTTTTCTTTTATTAGTCATTTGTCAGTTTGATGAACGATGAACCTTAATAATGAGATATATAAAGCAGTCAACTCGAGATGACATGTCAGGAAATTGGAATGGAGAGATACTCGATATGGATGAAAAAAAAAGAAAAACGATCAATTGAACTTTTCGCTTGTTCACTAACTAAGCAAAAAAATAATAAAGGGCTTCTGGTTTTCACTAATGAACATATACGTAGACTTTGTTCGTGATGACGATGATGATTGTGATATTGTTTGTAGTATAAGAGCATGCGCGCCTGCTTACAATATTATCATAATCAAAAGACCGACTTATGATCATTGGGCTCCTTCGCTTCGTTGTCTTGTACACACACACATAAAGATAGATAAGGTGAACTGCCTTTTTATTCTTTCTCTTGTCTAATTGCAGACGATGGTAATGCACGAGTGGTAGATGAAACATACTTATATTCACACAGCTTACCTTCATATCTTAGGTGATAATCATCAAAAGAAGGTCAGCTAAAGGCGAAATTTTCTTATGAGATCTTTAACTATCTATCAAGAATTATTATCAATTATTTCTTTCGAACATATTATTATTTATTTATTCAATAGTTTAACTTAAATCATAGTCATACGAAATGATTTTATTATTTCTTTTCGTGTCACCTAGAGAATTGATTTGTCATATTCGTTAATAGCAACAGCTTGCTCACATTTTCACGGGAGGAAAAAATGAAACTTATTCACACCTAAACTACTATGGATAGTGTGAGAAAATCAAATTTTCACGACACGAAAAAAAAAAACAATCAATTATCAATTGATGACATGAATAACGCATATATATATATACATAATATAAAAAAATTTTTTTTTCTTCTTTACTTCATATATGATTCTCATGATAACTGTATAGCTCATCATATTGATTTCTGGTAAGAAAATTTGCTTTAAGGCATAAGTATGCTTTATCAGGTCATTCAATCATCAGTCTCAATGCATCACATCATATTCAAGTCGACAAGACAAGACATGACGAGATGAAGATGTCAACTATCGTAGATACGGAAATGATTGTATTCAACTTATCATTATCACTGTTGTGATATTCTCTATTATTGATGTACACATTTTTCGATTGTTGAGAGCAATTTGTTCCTCTATTGTTCTCATTTAAACATGCCTACATGTATATCTTTATATACATCCGGATGACATATAAACTTCCTACTATATTTGTAGCTACATATGTCCTACTGTGAGAAACTAATTTTTTTTTTCTTCAAGCAATATGTCTCGAAAGCCAAAAAAACGAGAGAGAGAGAGAAAGAATGGTTGAACGCAACATCTTTAATTGAAGTGACAGTTGACGTAAGTGTATAGCAACTTGAAATTCATCATGTATTCTGCTCATTCTTTCTCCTATTGTTCTTGGTGGTTAATTCAAGAAGAATGACCATACGACATACGATTACAAGAAAATTACAGAGACCCTTCTCTCATGAGACAGAAAGGCACAAAATTAATGAGATGGAATGTATGTATGTGTCGTTTTTTTTTTTTCTTTTTTTGTTCATTCTTTCTTTTCATCTTAACAGAGAGTTCAACATTATCATCATTTCATTTAGTCTATTTCTAGTCTTCACACGGATATGTGAGCTTTTCTAGCCACATTTATTTCTTTTTTGCGTATCAAATGCCGATCATATGGTACACCTGCTAATGACCTTTAGGAAGAATATGATTCGATTGTGTAAGAGATGTATATATTAACCTCAAAAAAGATCAGAGTATGGTTAGTGGCGGGATACCATTTATAATGATCGATGATTGTAGACAACCCGGGTGTCACCTATCTTTTCTATTTCGGAATGATCATGATGATGATGATGATGATGTAAAATATAAGGCGACGACGTATGCTGTTTGTACACATAGATCTTATTTTCTCTCGCTCTCTCGCTTCAGATAGAAAAACAGAGAAGCCAATTGCATTTTTTTTTCTCTTCATTGAACGTACGAGAGAGTGAGAGAAAAGAAAAGAAAAAGAGTGTTCACTTTGAAATCAAATATCACTCAACAAGCTGCTGTATTTTCTCTCTACATACTTCAACACTTCTCTCGAAAAAAAGAATGTTGCTACTAGTAGTATATAGGAAAATCTAATCAGTAATAAAGGTGAGATAAAAAAAAAAAGAAAATTTTTCAACACATTTGATATAACCATTTCTATTGAACACTAAGCCAGATGGTACTTTTGACTTTTTTATTTCTATTAATGAATCATTGATCATCGAGCAGCTGTTTGAAATTCTTTTAGATTTAAAAGAAAAACAAGAAAATGTATATTCAATTGATCTTAATGACTCTTATTCTTCCCATTTATTATTGTCAAATAGATTTTCAAACGATTTGTCAAGCCGGTATTCGACAAGACAATACAAAGTAAGACATATATATATATACATTAAAATAAAACCTATTATTTATTAATTAAATAGTTATATACATTGTGGTCGTAAACAATTAAATGAAATTCCAAATTTTTCTCGTACAACAAATACATTTTATGATGAACTTGTTTTAAATGATAATCAAATAATTGAAATACGTCATAATGCATTTCAAGGTTTACGTGTAAAACGTTTAAATTTATCAGGAAATAAAATACGTTCAATAGATATTCGTGCATTTATTGAATTAGCAAATTATCTTGAAGAATTAATTATTGAATTTGATTCAAATATTCTTCATAATATACCTGATGCAATTAAATTAAATTTAATTAATTTACGTTCATTAAAATTAATAAATCTTAATATAACAATAATAAAAAATAATACATTTATTAAATATCGTAAATTAGAAGAATTATCTATAATAAAATCTAATATAAAATATATTGAATCAAATGGTTTTAATTCATTAAATAATTTACGTTCATTACATCTTGATCAAAATCAATTAACAGATAATATATGGTTTGTTTTAAAAAAATTTCTAAATAATTTAGAAATTTTAACATTAAGTCAAAATAATTTAAATACATTAAAAGAAAATTTTTTATTAAAAAATTTAAAAATTCTTGATTTATCATCAAATGGTATACAAATAATAGAAAAAAATTTTTTTGAAAATATTCAATTTATTGAAAAAGTTTATTTACAAAATAATGAAATTAATTCATTACAATTAACATTTTTAACAATATTAAATAATTTAAAAGAATTAAATTTAGATTTTAATCGTTTAACATTTTTACCAGAAAATTTATTTCAATTTAATACGAAACTTATTTATTTATCATTACAAGGAAATGATTTAAATTATTTAACAAATAAATCATTTCGTGGTTTAAATAATTTAATTTATTTAAATTTAGCACGTAATCGTTTACAATTTCATATTAATCAACAACCATTTCAAGATTTAAATTCATTAGAAATATTAAATTTAGATCGAAATTTATATTTAAATTTATCAAAATTTATTTTTTCTGGTTTAAAAACAAATTTAATTGAATTATCATTACAAAATTGTAATTTAACACAAATTCATTTATTAAATAATCCATTTGATTTATTTATTAATCTTCA